ATGATGATATAGATAGTATAACAAGTAATCAATCTTTTTGTACTACTTATCGAAATTCTTTTTCAGGTTTTCATAGTACAAACAGTACAGAAACGCTCAAACGAGCTAATAGTATGAGCCAATCACGTAATATTGATAATGCTCAAATTTTTATTTTTGCAGGAGATAATCCATCTCAGCAAGGTACAGGTGATAACCAAACTCATTATCATTCTGTTAATTCTGTGATTAACTCACACATTTTTTCTTTTAGAAAATCTAGAAATGAAAATATTAAAATGTTTCATTCTATAAATAATTTTCATATTTCTACACAACAAGTGCCAGAAATAATATCATTTGCCAACAAGGTATGTTATTATACATATATAGAAGGTTATTTTTATTTTCAAAATTATAAACCATATAGTTTAAATATTTTGATTGACACAGGAGCAACAATCTCTAGTTGTCGACCTAATGCTTTGCCATCAACAAAATGGCAACCCATGAAGCATCCTATAATAATAATAAGTATCGATGGTAAAGAAACCATTGTTAACCTAAAGGCAAAAAATATTCCTGTTGCCTTAAATGATAAAAAATTTATTATACCTAAAATATTATGTTTTTTTAATATGCATGGAGACATTCTGTTAGGAAATAATTTTATACATAAATATTTACCCTTTTTTATTTTCCCAGACTATCTTACTTTTACTATTGATAAAAAATCGATAGATGTTTCTCTTTTATCCAAGCATAATCATGTTTGTGATAATGATTTTTAACCAAAAATAACACATATTTATGAATTTAAAGCTATTAATGAAAAACATTGGCTTTATAGAATTTTACAGGAAAACTTCAGTGAAGACCCATTGAAGCTTTGGAAACGCAATCCCAGATACTGTGAGCTAACTCTACATTCTCCAAAAGAGATTATTAGAGTAAAACTCATGATTTATACCAAACTGGATATAGATGAATTTGAAGTTCAAATTTCAAAATTGCTTGACAAAGGTCTGATAGAATCAACTACCAACCCATATTCCAGTCCAACATTCATGGTAAGAAATCATTTTGAGATTAAAACGAGGAAAACCCTGTATGATTATTAATTACAAGAAATTAAACCAAAATCTTATTTTTTATGACTATTTTATCCCTCGTAAAGATGTTTTAGTTAATTTAGCAAAAAATGCTAAATACTTTTCTAAATTTGATTATAAATTCAGTTTTTGACAAATCATGCTAAATGATACTTTTAAACCCCTTACTGCTTTTAGTGCACTAGCAGGTCATTACCAATGGATTGTTATGCCTTTTGGTCTGTGCAACGCACCTCAAATCTTTTAGCGTTGGATAGGTAGTATTTTCAGCAAACATAAATAATTTTGTTGTGTATATATTGATGATATTTTAATATTTTCAAATACTTTAGATGAGCACATAAAACATCTTAATATTATCGCTTAAGAATTTATTTTACATCGTATTATTTTGAGTCCCAAAAAGGTTGAACTCGAAAAAATCGAAATTGAATTTCTTGGTCTTAATCTTTCTGCAAACGGACTAACCTTGCAGGATCATATTATCTCCAAGATTATAGAATTTCCAGACCAACTGGATAATGTCAAACAGCTACAACAGCTGTTAGGTATACTTAATTATGACAGGTAATTTTTCAAAAATCTTTCTAAAAAAGAAAGCTATCTTTTGCGTAAATTACGTAAAGATAATGATTTTGTCTAAACACCTAACGATTTTGATATTATCAAACAGATCAAATCAGATTTAACCACTATACCTAAGGTTCATCGCCTAAACAAAGTGATTTACTTATTTTAAAGGCAGATGTCAGTGATGAACATTGGGGATGTGTCTTAAAAGCTAAAAATCTACATAAAAAAGATGAATTGATTTGTGGCTATAATTTCGGTAAGTTCAAACCGAACGAAATAAATTATATTATCTTTGAAAAAGAATTATTAACCATAAAAAATGGTGTACAGCGATTTCACATCTATTTAACCCCAAAGATCTTTGTTATCCGAATAGATAACGAAGCAGTCAAAAACTTTTTTCAAAATAGAAAGCTTTCTGATAATCTAAGGTGAATTAAATGGTATAATTTTCTTTGTTCTTATAATTTTCAGGTAGAGTTCATCAACGGAGACAAAAACCTTCTTGCCGACTTTTTGAGTCGACCACATAGATCAAGGAAAACAACCAGTCCATGACACAGGTGGATAGAGAACCATCAAGAAGAAAATAGGTAAAAAATTCTCTTCTTCTTTTTCTTCTCTAAAACCCCTTATCTCTACAAATCCTAACTCAAGATTTAACTTTTATAATAATCCTAACCAAGGATTATATCTCTACCAACAACCTCGTTATCGACCTTCTTTTATGAGGATTTAACCAAAATTCTCTCAATTTGCTCAAGATCCAAACGAATGGACACCAATGAGTTACTCTCAAATAGTTTCTTCAACAGAACAACTACTTGAAAGAACAAAATTCTCTAACCCAGAGATTAAAGATTTTACAACCCTAAACTTGAACCACAAGTCTACAATCTGTTAAACAAAGTATGAAAATCCCATCTCTCAGAAAATAAATCTAGCTTTCGAAAAGGGATGACCAAATTAGCTGAATTCTTAGTCAATCAGGCTAAAGAATTTCAAAATTTTAAAGAAATAGCTTTCCAAAGCCTTCTATCAACAAATCTACTAAAATAGCAAGATATTGATTTCTTTACTTTGGAAGAAAATCAATACAGTCTTCAATAGATAAACAGTTTCTTGAATTTATGTGAATATTTTGAAAAGGAAAATTATGTTTCCTCTAAGCTAAACAAGCTTAAGAGAATTCTTCTTTTTGAAAAAGCTGCGGTATTCTTAACCAAAAAATTATTCCAGAAAATTAATTCTTCTATCTTACAGTCAACAAAAACACTGTTGATCGAAAAAAATTTTTATTATTATACTTCTACGTATATGTATAATACATCTTTTGGTGAATATATACCTAAACTTAAGTTTCGACTTGACCATGAAAGTTTGACGTAAAAAGCATTGAATTTGATTTAGTTGAAAAAATAACTGTATAAAATTATTCTTTTCACCTTTTAAAAGATTTTTCAGCTTTTATTAAACACCACTTTATTTAATGTATAAAATAGTCAAAACATTTTTATCACATTCATTTCACTATATATAGTCTTTTTGGTACCTTTCAAAGAGAAAAATTTTACCAACTTTATCAAATATGGGAATTTGATACTGTATCCGGTGGATAATTTCTTTAACCTTTAAACATACTTGATCCACCTATTACGGAAAACATTGTAGCAAGTCACTATAGCGATACTGTAGATAAAAATTTTACTATACATTATAACGGTAACTGTACAGAGTTACTATTCATAAGTTAAAATTTTTCTATTTAAAGCCTCATTATATCTAAGCTCGAAGAGGCCAATTATTCCAAGCATTGGATTCTCAGAACATTTTTTGGATTCTTTTTTACATCGATGGAATGACCAAATTCACATAAAATGGATTTGAATATGACGTTGATAACATCTAGTTGATTATGATAAAAGCAAAAGTTTTCGTCCTTTTCCCTTTGTGGTGGTAGCAGATTGAGAAAACACAAAGCTCGTCATTTTCATACCCAAAGAAAGAAAAAAAATACAATTACTACAGAGTTTAAATCATTAAAAAGCTTATCATATGTTGAAAAGAATTGAAAATTGTCATTTGCAATTGATACATAGAACATCAAGCTTGTGCAAATTTGATAAAATCTCATCTTTGTTCCCTTATCTCGAGGTATCAGCCAGTTTTACTATCTCTACCTTGTCATTTATCATTATTTGACTCTCAAAATATTAAAAAAAATAATATCAGTGTATTTAATATTAAAATATAATTTTGAAACTGGGATTTGCTCACCTTATACTACAATTGTTTTACATGTTTATTGAGAAACCATCTTTAGTTTTTCAAGTTGATGTTTGTTTGTATAGGTTCTGCTAGTTGAATCTAAAACCCCATTGAATGGAATGGGCCTTTCCTCCTTTTGTAGATGTCATATGGACTTTTTTAAGTGAAACTTTATCTCCCAATAATTAGTAAGCTGCAAGAAAAAAAAATAAAAAACGAAGATAGAGACATTAACCAAATCCAATTCCTAACGATAAATGCAAAGCTACTGTTAGCGCGAGAGTGGTTCCCAGTTACGCAAGTTTCTGGAAGGCCATGGTCCAAAAAGAGTCCACAAGGCCTTTATTTATGCCGGACCCATACTGTTAATAAGAGTTTTGCCGTCTAATTAATTTTCTTGTAAAACGCGGTCATTTACTCAGTCAAAAGGCACCAGAATACCGACGGTTGCCAAGTTGCAGTGGTCCAGGAGGTCATGGAAAAGGAAATGAACTTTATACCGAACAGACCCTTCAATTATTATTAAGTCCCTGTTAAGTTCATTTCACCATCAGCACCGCATCATTATCCGGAAAATCATATTTGATATATAAAATTATAATAACGTAAATTAAAATAATATAATTAAATTAATTAATATTATTTAAATTTATTTTGGTGTATATAAAAATTATAATAAAATAATTTATTTATTTATCAAAATTTTTTTTTTTAAATTATATAATTTAAATTATTAATGTAACTTTAAAAATATAATTGAAAATATAAGTTAAATCTTATAAATTAAAAAAATATCCTCTTCATTTAAAAAAAATTAAATAATCCTATATATATTAAGAAGATATTAATTTTTCTTATAATTTTTATTTTTTATATATAAATCAAATATGGTATAAGATAACTACCATACTATACTATCTTATCAATGATCTTATTTATTAAACATCATCTAAGTACCAACTCTATTACTACAAAGGACAAACTACCTGTTCACCCCCACAACATGGCGGATAGCATCAACCCACCATCTCTACTAAGAACAGAGGCATATCTAGTTTGCCTGGCCTTTGGGCTTTGGGTAAAGAGTAAAATTTATATCAGCCGTTGCAATTTAACTCAACCAAGAAAAAGCTTCAGAAAACCTGTACTGCTGACCACCAAGTCAATCATATTATTTCACAACAAAAGCAAGTGTTTTGCCCGTTTCGGGGAGCTCAAACAGCATTGATTCCAGGTTCAGCAGCGCTCGTTATCATATCAAATTTACTGCATTTTGGATGCTACCAAAGAACAACACGCTTACTGGTTAAGTGGTTATAGCAGCTGCATTAACCCTGCTAAACTTGGAAATCATTAATGTTTTGGCTAAAAGAGCAGAGGCAAATACCAAAATCACTGCATTCAAGCTCATGCATCTAGCATCTTTATCTGATGTTTTAAGAAACTTATCAATAAATTAATGGTAGAGCAAACTTGTTTAAAGAATTTTAACAAGCATGTTTATCTAAATTGGATGTCAAGGGCAATAGAGACACAAAGGAATTCATTTCACTGAAAAAGATGCAAACTGCTCCCGTATTCTTTAGTTTCTGACATACAAGAAAATGCTCCTTCACGGTGAGCAATAGAATTTCACCCACGGCTTCCTTGCTTCTCTTTCAATTCTGGGTCCCTGAAGACAAATATTTAACCAGAAGGTGAGAGAGATCCAATGGTCAAGGGCCATATATAATTACCCTACAGGGAAAAGATTAAGTCAAACCTCTGAATACGATCAAGAATAAGTAGCCTCGGTCCAGGGGGTATTTTCACATCTCTAAGAGCACTGAAACATATCATGGCAATTTAAAGGCCATCAGAATATATCTACACAGGCCATAAAATATTAATTATGAAGTTAAATTAAGATTAAAAAAAAAAAATCAACTGCTTACCTATCAGTAAGCAAAGGCAATGTGCTATCGGTTAACAAGCCTTTTTTGAAATTCTTCTCGTAGTTCTGCAGGCCAAGACTATTCAAAATGGATCTTGTTCTGGAATAGTACACATCCTCAGCAGGTGGTTGAGAAAACTTGTGCCCTAACTGTATAATCACAAAAAAAAGGCCGTTAGATATGAAACTACGGGCCCTTAGAGCAATATTACAAAGCAGTACCCAATCGGAATATTCAGCTGTTGAAAGGGGAGATTTACTTGAGAAGCTCATGGATACAGACACTTTCAATAAAAATTGATTCCAAAATTTTAGCACACCATGTTTACAGCTTTTTTGGTTTATGCATGCTCTATCATCTTCACAGCTTGCAAAGCAGTTAATCCCCAGAAATGGGCTGAAAATGAAATAGTGATCTCAGAAAGGTTAATGAGATAATAGATCACCTGGAAAAGCCCGCCTTGAACTAGTGCGAAAAAAAGTCCAGAAGTGACTGCATTTGCAACCTGATTTGGGCCACCCATACCACTCACTAAAGAAAACATGGCCCCAGAACCAAAAGCCGCCACCATGCTGCAATAATACAATATTTATCTTAAACAACGGTGTGAACCTAAAGTATAAAATCAACCGATATAAAAAACTAATGAAGTCTATAGTTCTTTATTCAAAGAACAAGCTTGGATGATCCATACAATCTACAGATAACCACAGACAAATATCCAATAATGCTCTCCATAAATAGTATTGCAATCCTAATTTATGATGGGAGAGTGGAGGTACAGAAAGCAGATTGCCACCAGGAGAGCAGGACGTAAACGTGAGGGAAGAGATGGAATCTAGAAGAGCATAAAAGAGAAGAAAAACTAGTGTGTACTTTCATTGAAAAAAGCACGTCCAAGTTTCTAAACTGGTAGGGAAATAAGAAAGTTCAAAACAATGTCTTCACAAAAATTATCAGTTAATAAATCACCTTCTAACTGTAACAGTTAAACTTCTATTCATCAGATGCATAAAAATTAAAATAAAAACTAGATCATGATCTCCACATAGCAATAAAATCAAGTCAGTTCCTAAAAGGCAGCAACTTTAGAGTCTACAGGAAAATTAAAGAGAAAACAGTTTCCAAAGTATGACTTGACCAAAAACCAGAGGGATACATGAGACTTCATCCTTTCCCAAATACTCTGTTGATAAATCTAAATGCACTATTTTTAAACCAAAGAAAATGAGACTCCTTCCTAACTGAACAAATTCAAAAAAAAAAAAAAAAGCCAACACATGTATAACATCATAGCACTTCCATGTTCTGGAACAAACTGTTTTGACCAGAACATTAGCAAGCTAAGATTGATTTGAAATTAAAGAATGAAATAAAGATTTCTTTGCATCTCAACAGGGATTTCAATCTGATTGAGATTCAGTTCAGGAGTGAGGATAAAATAGAAGAATCAAATAAGAATAGGTGATGAAAAACAATGGTAGTGTGTGTTTGTGTTCAGAAATAAGTCCATTATAGCATTATCTGTTGGTATCTTTAATGGGTTTGTTGAGCATATTGCAGCATATGTTAGTATGTTGTATTCTGATTGAACTATGACTAGTAGCAACATCCACTAGAGATAAAACAACAGAAAGAAAATCAATGAAGATAAAGAAAAATGTGACCAAAAGGTCCACCTAGATTGGACATCCTCCTTCCCTCTCAATCTTTTCATAACACAAGATATGCCGGCATTGACACCAGTCATTACGGCAAAATTGCGGGCTTGTACCAAGGGACCACCTGATAGAGCCTGTAATCAAAGTAAACATCTATCATATGTCAACAAAATCCATTTATCGATGAATAATTAGATGCTGTTTAGAAAATCCTTCAGTGGTGGTAAGTTGGAGCTAATGCTTTGTAAACAACAATAAACTCAATTAGCATGCACTATACAAGAACCTGCTCCTCCTCAAAATCACACAATCAGCATTAACACATTAATTTACAGAGCAGCAAAAATAGAGAGAAAGCGCAAAAAAAACATAAAAACCCTGACTTTGGGCCGTGTTGCTGGTTAAGTTACAGTAAAAACTATTAACAAGGAATATTATTGTTTGAGATATGGCAATTACAGTTCTGAAAATATCGAGGTTGTGGATAAGAATGAAAACAAGAAAAAAAGGAGACCTGGGTTTGCTTGAGAGAAGCCATGGCCTGAGGATTGAGGGAAGCCTGAGGAGGAGTTGGAAGAGAGGAGGAGACATCGTTGGTGAGGGTACCCATTAAAACACCGATAGCAGCACCCTGAGAAGCGCTGGTGGTGGTTACCACAGCCGCCTCAACTGGCAAGGACTGCTTGGCTAGCCATGCCCTGAACCCGTTCTCCACTTCCTTGAACTTGGCTTGCAATTGTTCCAGAGGATTTTGCTGCGGTATCAACCTGGGAACCATCATTCCTCGCTCTTTTCCTCGCTCCATTTCGTTAGAATTTTTGTATAAAAATTTGACTGACTGCCCCAAAGCAAGAAGAGGCTTTGGAAATTGTAACGAGGGTGTGCCTGATGTTGTCGTTGGAGATGGATAAGACAAATATTTTGTTTTTGGGTTCGGTTTGGCTCTATTCTTGAATGGGGCTTTTAGCCGAAATCTCCTTCATGGTTGATTCACTTTGCCCAAAAACAGTATGGTCAAAAGACTCAGAACCCATTAGTTAAACCAAAAGACATGGATTTTCCACGTTATTGATCCAATTCTCCCAGCCCAAATGTCACCGGAAAGCCCTAAGCTATCCACTCGTCTCAACCCTCAAATAAAATCCCGCCAACTGATTCTTTAGGGCGTTGGGCCTATAAACCAGAAACCCACCTTGGTCCCCCTCTGCTTCTCCTGATCGGTCTTTCCCTCTTCCGCAACACATTTCACCACTTTCTTTTTCTGGTACTGTCCTTTTTCCATTTTTCTTTCGTATTCAGTTTTACTTCTTTGATCTACACTCGGCTTCGTTAACATTTCCATTGATTTATTTGAATCTTGCCACTTTTTTTTTTTATTAAACCGCTTATGAACTCCTAATGCGAACGTTTTCTACCTTTTGGGAGGTGTTTTTAGGGTTTCTCTGTTAACATTTGCGTTGATTTATTATTATTATTATTATTATTATTTTGTTTTCTCAGCTTAAATGCTGAATTTATAAAATTCTATAATCTAATGTCAGGGAAGAATATTAGGTGTGGAATGAACAGCTCCGGGGAAGATTCTCCAGATTGGTTGCGTTCTTTTCAGGTATCTTTAGCTTCTCTTATTGATATTATTTAAACTTTGCTGAGTGTTGTTCTTTCTTCGTTAACCAGTTACGTGCTTTACTTTGTAATTTCTTCAAAAATTGCTTTTACTTGAGAGCTATTTGCTTGACAATCAAATTGTTCCCTTTCAACCTTGTTATTTGTAAACTGTGTAGCCCTTTTTTAAGCATCCAAACTAAAACCAATACCAATTGGCAATAGATGGAGAGTCCAAACTTGAATATAAGACCTCAGTAAATCTAGTATTTAACAGATTGAGATAACTTTAATAGGCCTCTATCACATGTAGGCGAGATTACCACATGACCAGTTGACCAAAAAGGAACAAAAAGCAGAACCTGACTATGATGCTGTGCTAAGCCTCCATCCTAAAACCAATTAGCAATAGGTGGAGAGGCCGAACTTGAATATATCTAGAATTTAACAGATATGGTATAATATCATTTTAGCAACTTACTTTATTCTTGTACCTTTACATTGTTCTCTTAGTGGCTGCGGGAATTTTCATTTTTTTCAGGCACCAACTTCTGTGCTGACGTTATCTTCGGATTCCAATTCTTCACCAAATGCTAGCCTGCTTAGGGAGGATAAAACAGATGATGAAGGCAGGTTTCAACAAAGTTCACCTACATTGGGAAAGAGCAGCAGAAACCACGATAAAGTAAATCAAACTTCTTCAAAAAAGAAGAAAATAGATGTCTTTGAAAAATCAGAAGGTAAAAGAGTAATGTTCCTACAAGGCTACAATATCTTAAGAACTGATGCAAAGGCGTTTCCAAATAAGTAAATAACTGATATGATGCTTAAGTAAATTCTGGGAAAAGGAAAATCAACTTCTGATTCTGAGCCCTTGGTTCTTCTGTCTAGATTTGTTATATATTTCTTTCAATTTGACCTTGTTCTTTACAAACTTGTGCACTATGAACTTTTAGTAATGATACAGGGAATAGGGATGATGGAAAGGTTGCTACAGAAGAAATATCCAATAAACACTTGGTATCTCATGTAAGAAGCTTCATATTGCATTGCCTTGGAAAAGTCATCAAACTTTAAAAAATTGATTTCAGGCCTCTTTTTAGAATTTACGAAAATTAAGATCAATTTGCTCTAGAAGTGAACCATTCCCTCATAGAACAAAACTGTTTCCCTTCATTCAACTGTATGATCAGCACTATTTTAATGTAAATTTATTCCATACATTTGAGACATTCTCCAATAAGATATTGGAGGGCCACTGTTAGTATTGATGCTGATGAAAATGGATAGATGTTGAACAGGCAGCATATCATTCAGTTTGGACGTTATCATCAGATTCTGAGTCTTCTCCTGGCCGTTCTCCTAAAAGAGATGAAAAACATTCTCTATCTCAAGAGAGTGGAGAGGCAACTGATCCATTTCTGACTGGAAGAAGTCAAAAGTCTCCACGAAAGATGACTTCTAAAGGAAAATCTCCAAAAAAGGGGTTAAAAGGTGGGAGCCAGACTCCCAAAAAGAAGGATGTGAATGATGATGCAAAGATAACAGGTATGATACTGGATTTATAAATGTAAAATTTGCTTTTAAGGTTCTTGTATTGGGTTTGGCTGGCTTAAGAAATTAATATAGCTGATGCAAAGGCTCGTATGATAAGCTACCTAAGTTGCTTCACATGCAATTTCTGATTATGATACAGAAAATGATGGCATTATGGACACTGCTGAGGAGGCATCTGAAAAGCCAATTGAACCTCATGTAAGAATGTTGGTAGCAACTGTGATGGTTTCTCTCTATCCTTTGGCTCATTGAGTTCTTCATCTATTTGTAATATGTAGGTTTCCACCTCAAGGTTGCCTTTGGTGCTGTCTGAGAAAGTTCACCGTTCAAAGGTAGGGAGCCTTTTTTCATAGTTATAGCTTCTTTACATGCGCCTTCCCTAGAGAATTGGCTGTGAGCTTAATAAAGGGTGGTCTTGGCAATGGACAGCAGCTTTTAGTTTCTTGAAAGTGTTGTGAGGTTTTACTTTCATATTGTGCAGGATATTAATTAAGGGAGATTTAATTGCCCCCTAGTAGTATAATCAGAAGTAATCCAAATTTGCTTACTTTTTCAATCAGTAGAACTCTACAAACAACCTGGGGAAACCAATCGTAAATGGTATTTTTGTTTTGTCTACTTTTTATTGTAATTCAAAATCTAAACCTTTTATTTTGGTTTGCTTGCTGTTTTATATGTGTGAAAAAAGGGAAGGCCTCAAGCAGACCAAATATATTTTATGTTATTGAGATTTTTTTTTTTTTTGAACTTATGTTATGGAGATATTAAATCTTATAGAATGACCTTAATAATTTTGGGCATTTGATTACATATGTGTGCATTCAAAGGAAACCAGTGATTAACGAAAGGCTTTGTGGTTTTTGCAGGCACTTGTTGAGTGTGAAGGGGATTCCATAGATTTGAGTGGCGATATAGGGGCTGTTGGACGAATAATAATTTCAGATTCTGCTTCTGAAAATCATGAGATGTTCTTGGACTTAAAAGGCATGCTTTATTCGAATGCACTTCTTAGTTTAAGATGATATCTCTGTTTATTGTTATGTTTGAACTTTTAAATAATCATCTCCGAGTGGTTAGTAAGATATTGACACCTTGAGGTTTAAAAGAATACATATATATATACGTACCTATATAACTTGGACTTGTTCTGCGCTGAAATTCAGTAAGTTTCTGGAATTTCTGCTTGTACTTTTTCTACTTGAATCTTGGTTATATTGTTGTTCCACTTGGAGACCTTATCTTTCACAATCTCTCTTGATTGGTTTTACATGGCTTATTTTCTCAGGAACCATTTACAAAACAACAATAGTGCCTTCCAGAACATTTTGCATTGTGCGTAGACTCTGTCGTGCATTTCTCACTGAATATTTGTGATTCTATTGGTGTTGTTTTCACAGATTTTTTGTTTAACAGGTTAGCTTTGGTCAGTCTGAGGCTAAGGTTTGTCCTAGTACTTAGCTTTGATACCTTGCTTTGGTCAGTGAGATGCTTGATATTTTCCTCAACATTACTGTTAAATCTGTAAATTTCATATTCTATTCTCAGATTGAGGCTATCATGAATGACTTCATTCAGCTTAAGCCACAGTCCAATGTTTACGAAGCAGAAACAATGGTTGAAGGTACCATTATTTCAACTAGTTATTTATTATTTATTTATTCATTTGTGGAAAAGGAAAAGGGATGATTGTGTTGGAAGCAATTGACAAGAACGTACTTCTATCTAATGTAGATAATGGTTCATCCTTTGACATATTTACTTTCATGGAAAATTTGCTCTTCCTTGATATTTGATCATCTTGCATTAATAGGTACACTAGATGGCTTCTCATTTGATTCTGAAGATGAAGTTGACAAGATGCCCAAGGAAATTCCTCATCAAATTGATCAAAATGAGGGCATTGATGGACAAATGAATGGGAAAGCCAAAGGGAAAGCTGAGAAAGCAACTGTATGCATTCAGATCACCTTTGTGTATCTTTTTTTTTTTCCATAGAAAAAAAATCTGCTCTTATTGCAAGAATATCTATATGTTTATCTGAGGGGTTTCTTGATGCAGACTGCATCACGCAAGAGAGGTAAAACTGGAGGAGGAAAGTCACAGCCGCCCAAAAAGGCAAGAAAGAAAACAGTCGGTTCAAAGAAACCCAAGGCCAAAAAATGAGAGACAAGATAAATATTCAAAATTTTCTTGTATGTGCAGCCAATTATAGACACTAGTGGTAATTTATATTCCTTTAGTTGGTTTCAGTAAGAAGAGAAATTGCTTTCTCCTTTTTATGACAGAAGGAGGGTCCTGTTCCTTGTGCATCATGCTCTTTTCTTCAACTTGTAAAACATACTGAAAGTCGCTAGTTATGAAATGCAATCAAATTGTGAAACATAATATATGCTACAACACCCTTGGTACAATTGGATGACCACTGGTAAAATGATGAATGATTTGTTGTGATGTATTTGAGCTGTTTTCTCATTTGTTTTTCGCAGAATCACCCCATTGCAGGAAGAGTCAACATGTCTTTAGAAAATTAGTAGTGATTGGCATTAGAAGAGGTAGGAGGATATTTGATTAGAAATCATCCAGGGGAAGAAACCTTCTTGCGAAGCATTATTGCAGAAAACAAAATAATAATATCAATCCTTTGTATACTTGGATGTGAACACCCAGTAGGCCATGGACATTCTCATTTGGCAATCTCTTTTTAAAAAATTTTTAATCTACTTTTAACTCAAATTCTTATTTATTTAAAAAGCATCAAGCATTTAAACTCTTTTAAACTAGTAACCTCCAAACGCTTCGCATCAATCTTGTAATACTTGCACGCAAGCTTCACGCGCAATCCTGTAACAGCCGGATGTGCAACTATTTGGCCCTCTGTGGATCTCATTTTTGCGAAAAGGAAAAAAAAAAAAAAAAAACCATTGCTTCGGCAATTGGCAAACAAGGCGAACCAGGAGCATTACAAGCACGGTGAAGCAATAATCAGCAGGTCTGGTTGTATACCAATCTAAAATAACATCACAATTAATAATTTGAATTTGACTTAAATGTTATTATTTCTTTTATAAAAAAAATTAAGATTTAAGGTTGGAACTTCCACTATTTTCTCGTCTTGTAACTCCACATATGTACCTAAAATGTCAAATGGAAACTCAATAATTCGTTAGTGCCACCACATTGCCATGATTTCAATCACCACTTTGACAAGAGCCTAACCCGGACTCCACAAAACTTCTAAATGAACAATCCATTCAAACCCAAATGCAGTTGCAAACTTGTCAAGCAGACAGTTCAATTTTTTTGGCAGCTCTTTTTTTAATTATTGAAAATAGTTGCACGTATCTTTCAGTAACCTTTGGCAGAGAAGCAACTTTTCTTCAGTAACAATTTTATTTCATTATATTTGTTTCAGTGTTACAGTTGGAAGTTGCTATCCTGGTATATTTTGGGAAGGACTTTGCTTGACATGATTGGAAAATGGAGGAACTAGGGGGCATGAGATGGACGATAGAAGCAAGAAAAAGAACTGAAGATGACATTAGAATTTTTTCTCCAACAGAGGCTATAGCACAAACAAACACCTTAAGTGACATTTACACTCGCAATGAAAAGATCATGAAATTTACATATAAATCCACAAAGCTAATAGAGCGAGAATCAGTCCCATAAACAATGATTAAACCATAAAATTACTGTCACAATTTTTGCAAGGCTGTAAATCACAATTATGGACAGCAGAAGAAAAGAGGCCAGGGGTTGTTACAACTGAACTAAGTGATCAACAGCAAAACAGGAGACTAGGTAAATCAGAACTACCAGAGCTATACATTTGAGAATTCATCGAGCACTGCTGCTTCACATATTAAGCATACAAACAGCTTAAACTCTGGGTTGCTGCAGCTTCCAAGTATAAGAAAATTTGGATGAGCAAACAGGAACAAGTCTTGGCAGGACTTCAAAGTTGCATTTAACAAAACTTCAATGTTTCAGGGTAGCACAACTTATAACAACTTCCTCGGTCTGCAGCTCACCAACCCAAACCTGATCCACTTCACCATCTAAAACTTAGCAACAGTGCCCCAACAACTTCCCAGCTGTACATTTCAGCTACCTAAACTGATACAAGTCACCAGCTAAACTCAGCAATATGCCTATTTTTCCCAAAAACTTGTTAGCCTGCAACTTAATTCAGCCAGGACAAAGAGCCTTCTGATAAGCACAATCTGATTCTCACAGTCCATAAATGATAATCTCACTTCTTCATTGGTTCCAAATAGAAACCAAACGTTTTGAGCAACTGATCTAGTAGAAGTTAAACGATAATGTTATTTCATTATCAGAATAAATATGACAGCAAGTAGCTTAACCAAGCAATTAAGTGGTAAGAGAATCAATCACCTTGCTAATAACTCCATTTTAATTTGGTAAACAAGGTTCAGACCTCAAAAATATGTCTATTATTAATAGGAAAGACAGCAGCACTAACACGATATGTATTCACTTGCAGGCAAGCAGAAAGATACCGCATTGGTTTCTTCTCCCCATCAAAGCTGCAAAAACAAGGAAATTGGTAAACATCAGCATGAAAGGGTTTTTCCATGTGCAAAACTCAAACAGTACACAAATGGCATGTAGCACTAGCTTGTTGCTGTCTGAAGATGGCAATATGATGTGTGATATGAGGAAGGTTGAACCACCTTGAATTCTATGGGTGAAATCCCTTCATAAGCCGGACTGCTAATAACAGGCCGCCAGCATAATACGGAACCTAGTTCATCAGCAGTAATATGCATGGTTTTGATATCCAACATAATCGATGACCAAATTACCTGCACGAGAATGATTAAAATAATAGTCAGAACATTTCAATTCACAAAACCTAGAAAGGGAAAATTCATTCACTATAGCAAAAGCATATTTAAATTCTCCTGCATTGCACACTTTTAAGGCCTGCAAAATCAACATATACTTCAGGATCTTATATAACAAATTAACAGGAAAAAAAAAGAGAGAAAAGAATAAACTAAAATATAAAAACACATGACAATAGCCCTATCATTCCTCTTCAACCTGCATTCACTAGTCCAACCACAAAGCAACAAGTTATAGAATCACATCAAAATATAACAGTAAAACCACGAAAAGAAATACAGTTTTCAAACTGAAGAACTATAATTGAATCTGCACTAACAGTTTTATTCAGAGACACATTAACAATCAAATATCACACCATACATCCACAAATATGAAAGTTCAACAAAATAATTAAAAAAAAAAGACACACAACATTAACAATTAGAATAAACATAACCAAGGAACAGATAGATGAAAATCATAATAATTCAACTCCTATTAAGGACCTAGAGGCACCCTGTAGCTGTCAAAGTTGATAAATCTAAGTAGAACAGTTAGAAAGAAACTGAATTAAATTCAAGTTTCGTAACGAAGTTAGGAAAGGACTACATGGCATTAGAGAAGATAAGAAATAAAAGAGTTTTTCCTACAGGCAGGTAGAATGCCAACTTATCCACCATCATCAAGTGTATTATCCAATTATCCATATTTGTCCCATAAGAAGAAGCAAAATGGAATAAGTTCCAATGGAACAAGATAAGTGAAACAAGATAAAGGAGTCTTTAAGGTTAATAATATGATACTATATATATGGAATCTAACTTCTAATATAATCTAGCTCATATCCATGCCATCTCCAACTTGACTGCAGATCGTACTAACAGCAGAGAAAGATCTCTCGAAAGGAGAAGGATGAAACTGTGCATCGCGTCTACGCTTAAAACCACAGCTATCAGAGGGTGGGGAATTATCAGCATCAAGCTTCCTCCTGACGCCTCTGACCGCCTGTTCCTCAGCTTGAGTAAGGGGAAAGACCTGGCCGCTTGCCCGGCAAAGGGAACTATGGTTATCATACAAAATTCTCTGGTTACAGTTCTTGTCACAGATGTGTGTGATTCCTGTCAGTTTGCAGCGATACATGTTGCCACAAACATGTTCATTTTGGCATTTCCAATCACATTTGTGAACAGGAATAGGCCCATCACGGCCCAGAATAGCAGACAAATAAATAACATTAGCAGGGGCAGCAGCCATGGTTTTGCCGTATGCCTCCATTGCCTTTGAGACCAAACGTGACCCAAAAATTCTTTTATTGTGATGGAAAATCACCAAAGCTCCCAACCGTGTAAGAGACAAACGTTCTTCTGCAGAGCCCAACATAATACCAAAAAACTGGTCAAAATTTTGATACACTTTGGCGGGGTCTTTCTCTTGCTAGCTTAGTCTACTAATATTGTTGTCAAAATTCTACACTAAAAAAGTAGTATTGTCTTGTACTTGAACAAAATTATAAAAACGACCCAACCCATGTCTAGATCAACGATCTAAAAGGACTAAGCCTTAACCCAAAACCATCATATAAAAATCAAATAGACGATCAAATTGCAAACGGTTTTGAAAAATGGGCATAAATTGCTCATTCTCCAACAATTAAAAGGCACAAAACTCAAAGGAAACAATAACAAAAAAAAGGACAAAAAGAAGATAAACGAAACTAACCTGGCACCGGAACAGTGCAAGTAACGAAAACGAAACCCAAAAAGAGAAAAAAAAAAAAAAAAACAAACAAACAAACAAAGAGATCTCTCTCTTGAAGAAGAAACAGCAGCAACCAATAAGAGGTAAGTAGAAGGAAAGAAATGGGGAAACAAGGGGAGGGTGGGGAGCACATATAGAGAAAGGGGTTAAGTGGAAGATGGGTAATGGGCCGCAGAGTGGGGTTGGGTTGACGCGGCGCGCCCTTAGAAAAAGTGAAAGTATTTTGTACACAACACGCACACAAAGGACACACTGTGGTTTGTTGTTTGGCGTGGGACATTAAATTCTCTTTCACGTTTAATTTAGCAAAAAAAAGTAAACTGAATTGAATTTGAATTGTTTTGATTTTTTTATAATATAAAATATTATAAATTTTTAAATTTTAAATTGAATTTAAATTAATTTTTATATAATTTAATTTAAGTTAAATTTTAATGGTTTAATTTAATCAATTTTTTAATTTTATATTATTTGAAATATAAAATTTTAATATATTTAAATAAATTTAAATGTAAATTTAATTCAATTTTAAACCAAATTAAATAAAAAATTCAATTTAAATCAAACTGAAAACTAATTAATTTTAGATTTTTTATTTTTTTCTCACTCTAAAAGAGAAAAACTTCAACTCAACACACTTTCTTTTTTTTTTTCTCTCTCTCTCTCTCTCTCCCTCTCCCTCTCCGTCTACTTTTCCGCTATTTACTTAATCACAATCACGTGTCTAACGTTCTTTTCTCCGAGTTGTTTGTCCCCTTCTTTCCCATTTCTCAGCAACTTTTTCTTTTTCCTTAGCTACTAACGGTCCCATTTTCCCATTTCCAAGAGAGAAACAATTTTCTTTTTTTTTTAATATAAAGAGAGAGTCAGAGAAAATATAAAATTAAACAAAATACTTACTGATTAGGTGAGCTAATTGTTTGGCCCACTCACCCAATCTCGTCCAATTTTTTAAAGAGTTTTTTTCTTTTTACAAAGAGAATAGTAATACGAGATTAAAAAAAATTGTATATATTAAAATTTGAATTTAAATTTGTAAAATATTATTAAATTTGGACATATTATTATTCGGGTAGAAGAGGAAAAAATTAGAATCTGGATATTAATTCATTTTATTTATATAATTATGGTAATATTTTAATAATTTTAAAATTTAAATTTTAATATCTGTAATTTTTTTATTTTATACTTTACTTTTTTTATAAAAAATTTAAACAAAAAATTATTGAAAGAAAAAATAAGTTTTTTTAGAGTAATTTTTTCTATTGCATGTGTAAATGATTTTAAAAAATTATTTAAAATTTCAAATTAAACAACGTTTATATTTTTCATGTTATATATTTACTTGATTCGTAAAAAATTTATTATCAGTATAAATAACCTTGTTTTATATTTTTTTTTCTTTTAAATATGTTCCAATTAGTTGGGCTTCAGAACCTGCGAGCCTGATCAATCTTCCTATTATATTGATTGGGAGCAGTCTCTCCAGCATTACATTAATATAAAAGAGTGCTTTTATTTAAACCTTAAAAAATTTTCAATTCATTTTAAAAAATTAATATTTAATGAAATTATTTAAATATTCATTAATTAATTATCTTTTAATCCTTCACACTTCTTTTTTTCTCAATAATTTTTTGAAAAAAAGTAGTTATTCAACAAAAATTAATTTTCGAAATTGAACAAAAGTTACCAAAACTCATTTCTGAAAATTTCTTTGAAAATTCATTTCTAAAAGCTTTTTTATTGAACTAGAAATATATTTTTGAAAAACATTACAATTATTTGAAAATGTATTTTTAAAAATAATTTTTTATTTCAATTTCTTTATTGCATTAGATACAAAAAGATAAATTTCAATCTCTTAATCAATGTTTGATATGAAATATTAAATATCCTTTGCTATAATCTCAAAACGAATCTCTAATGATATTTTTTAAGTATGGGCTGTTTAAATTCAGTATTAAAAACCTCTAACCTCATACAAGTTGGTTACTGCACCTTAAGTAATGAGGTAGTCAAGCTCTATCTCATTAAATTTGGTCCCACCATAATGTTTTTTGTCAACATTTGGTTATCTTGTAAGTGGGTGTACAAGTGACAAGCTGTTGCCAAGAAACATTATGGTGGGATCAAATTTGGTGACATTGTCATGGCTAATATTTCTTATGATGCCAAGTTGTTATGCTATGAGCAATGGCTTCCACAAATATTTTTAATGTATCGAAAATTTATTTTTGAAAATGAATATCCAAAAACTTTTGAAAAATTTTGAAAATGCTTTAAGATTCTTGAAAATAAATTTTTGAAAATTTTTAAATAATTTCGGATATCTATTTTTGGAAATCTTCAATAACTTTTTGAATATTTAAATGCATCTTAAAACTTAAAATCTTAAATCTTATGAAATTAAATACAAAATTAAATGAAAAAACAAAAAGAACAAATAATTTACCTCTACCTTTAAGCTATCTAACATTAAGTGAGTGATTGAGACTTAAGGCTTAATTCTTTAAAGTTTTTAGGGTTTTTAGTTGGAGGAGATGAGATATTTGAGTTTTTAATAAATTTATGTTTTGAGCTTGGGATATATTAAGTAAAAAATTAAATTATAATAATAATAAGGTATGAAGAGAAGAAGTTATGATGCAAATAGCACCCCTCCAAACAAAATTAATTCAAACCGCTCAATTCTTTTAGAAGCTGCTTGATATTTGGACCTCTTTAATAAGTAATTTTGGTCTCATGATCATATCCTCCGGCCTCCAACCAACCACGCAATAGCTAAATTGGGAAATAACAATATCTTAAGCATTTCATACGTACATACATACATATGTATATATATATATATATATATATATAAATGTTTGATTAACGTATGTTGATTCAAGTATGGAGAGAAATTATTTTTTACTGTTTCGAGTTTGAATTCAATTTTTATAATATTGTTTTAGAAACATTCTACAGTCCAACTTTAATTTTCAAATAAATTAATGTAGCAAAAGAAAAGAAAAAAAACAAGTCTCTTAAAATTTTAAAATCTAAAATACAACCCTATCCTCAGAATATATGTAGATTACAAAACGAAGCACCACAAGTGAAATTTCCAGAAAAATTGCAATGGAATCCATGGCTGATAAAAAAAAGAATTGGCTCCATTTTCCATAGAAAAGTTGGAAAGGAGAATTTATATGAGATGAAAATCCAAAATTTTCCTCTCTTCCATAAATTGGGTTTTAAGTGGCAAGCATTGGTTTGATGAGGTAACTGATCAGTGTGAAGTTGATGATGGTTGGTATCAGCAATATTTGTGAGACTAAATACATTTTTCTTAGTGGCTGTTAAAACTTAAAAAAGAACAATTAAAAAGAAAAAAAGATGTGTAATATAAAAAAAATCAATGAAAATTAAAGTTATTAGTAATTGCTAAAAATGGGAAAGAAAGATAGAAGTTAAGTAGTGGGAATAAACTATAAATTGATCCATGAATAAATGCTTAGTACGCCAACTAATGACAAGATGTTAGCGATTGGGTGATTTAAATTTTGCTGAAGAGAGACAAAAAGGATGTCTTTAGTGCGCATGCCTAAATTTTTTATTTTTTTTTTGTAAGAAACAGGAATGAATGAATTATAAAATAATATTATATACAGCATATTCAGTTTTATCAATGAGGACTAAATTTTTAACAAAAAAAAGAGATTCATTATACATCACATAATTGATCTCGTAATGACTATAACTATTACAACGATTGTTACTATCAAATCGAACAAGGGCGTCAACACATCTATTTCCTTTTTTAAACACGTGAAGCATGCGTTAATCTTCAAGATTTTTTATCAACTTTTTGCAATCAGAGATCAGAGGGAATATCACGGGATTAATCACCTGATGATTCTTAATCATGAAGATAATAATTGTGGCATCGAGTTAAATTTCTAACTTGTGGATATTGAATTTTTTCGTGAAAAATAATCCATTTTTGAAAGCTCACAATTTAGTCAAAATATTTGAACACATCTTAATATATCTAGAAAAATCAAAAAATTATTTTTTCTCACTATCTCAAATAATGGCTCAAGCTCCTGCTTTCCTAGAGTTATCTAATACCGAACCATCTGTGTTTAATTTATACAATCTTTCATTGGGAGATTTTTCACCTAATGGATACAAAGGATTGCAACGGAGCTCGAACTCCTCTCTGATTCATCGCATGTGTAATTATACTCTTATGCTTGTTGCTAATAGCTAGTAACGGCAATTTAAAACATTATTCGACATCAAATCTATATGAAAGATATAAAAATAATATAGGTTAAAATTTTAATAAAAATTATATATGAATTTAATAAAAATAATAATTATATTTTTTATTTTTTTATTAACATAAATTATAACACGTAATTTTTATATAAAATAAAATAAAAAATTTTAAATTATCAATATTTTATAAAATATAAATACACAAATAATTAAATACCATATGTTTCTAGGCTATAACTGGGTCCAATGTTAAGCTGCCCAAACAATAGTGCAAAGTGTTGTTTGAGAGCAGTTGCTAAAAAAAAAATAGTATATGGTAGCATTTGTTTTATATGATTGTTACGTGTTTTTTTTTATATATTTAATGTAAAAATAATACTATTTTAATAATTAATATTAAAAGTGATAATAGTTCGAATCAAATTAAATTTAATTTATTTTTTAAATAATTTATAATATTATAAATTTTAAAAATTTGATCTGAATTTAAATTGATATTTTTTAAAAATTAATCTAATTTGAATTTTATCAATTCAGTTCATTAATTTTTTAAATTTATTTTTTATATGTTATTTTTTATATAATTTTTAATAAATTTAAATATAAAATAATTATTTTATTTTATAAAAATTTAAAAATTAATTTGGTTGATTGATTTTTTTAATTTGTCACCTTCTAACTTGAAATTCGATTTGAATTAATAGTACATTTAATATTTGAATCAAATAAAAAACTTGACTCGAATCAAATAAAATATTATAATTTTAAATTAAAATATAATTTTTTGGATTTTTTTTTTTCAAATTGCATGCCATGAACCAACGTCATTATAATGAAGAGAATATATAAATAATGCTCGGTAAAATTAGTCTTCCCAAAGTAAAAGAAGATTTATCATTTATCATAAAGAAGGAAAAAAGCCAAATCTTTTCCCCTGCAAGCGGAGTCCAACCTACCTAGACAGCTAAGTGGCCAACGGCCGACGCTTATGTTTTGGCTTTGGGTTTAGAGCGTTCCAACTTTCAAGTGAATTAGAAAAGCAGGTCACGGGAACTTTGGTGGGCTAAGTGCGGTTGGCTCTGCAGTCCACGTAAGAGTCCCACTTGAATGCTCCTACTGTTAATTTTCTCTTCTCTTTCCTTGATCCTTACTTCTTCCCATTTCCTTCCATAAATACGAGCAAAAGCCAAGACAACCCGCAACCTCGACCGCATCCGTCCCTTTGTTTTCCCCTCTCCGTTCCCACTTGAGACAAAAACACTCCTATTTGAGGCTTTGAAGAACGCTAGAAGGCCTTAGGGGACTAACCCAATCCTCTATACGTTCTACCGTTTGTTGATTTTCGCTCTTTTGAAACTATACCGGCCCCTCCAATATGACTATCGAGAAAAAATATCTGGATTGCGTATTAGTCCCATTGGGGATTTTTTTAATGGTGGCTTACCATCTATGGCTTCTCTATCGGATCATAAAACATCCCACCAAGACTGTCATCGGTGTCAACGCCATCAATCGCCGCTTCTGGGTTCGCGCTATGATGGAGGTTGGTATTTATCTTAACCAAAATTCTTGGTCTTTTCTCTGCCATCTTTCTAGAATCTTGATTTCATATTCTTATATTAATACACTACATCTAATTAAATCCTTTCGTGGATGGGAATAATGGATGTAAACAACTAATTAATGGTGTTAATTTTTATGGTGCAGGACGTGCCCAAAAATGGGGTTTTGGCAGTGCAAACGCTGAGGAACAACATAATGGCATCGACCCTGTTGGCATCAACGGCAATCATGCTGAGTTCCCTAATCGCCGTGTTGATGAAGAGCGATAGTAGTGATAGATCGTCCTGGTTCGTTTTTGGAGACAGAAGCGACGAAGCATTTTCCATTAAGTTATTCTCAATTTTGGTTTGCTTCCTGGTGGCGTTCTTGCTCAACCTGCAGTCCATCAGGTATTACAGCCATGCAAGCATTCTGATTAATGTGCCTGTGAAGAAGATGTCCCAACATCTGCGGTATCACCACCTTCCTGCTGAATATGTGGCCACCACGGTGAACAGAGGCAGCTATTTTTGGTCTCTAGGACTACGTGCCTTTTACTTCTCTTTCCCTCTCTTTTTGTGGATCTTTGGGCCTCTTCCTATGTTTTTCTGTTGCATGGCCCTCGTTTTCCTGCTTTATTTCCTCGATGCAACCTTTAAATTTGGGTGGGCCGTTGGGGTTATTGATGACAGTGGCCACGAGGACGAGGAATTAGGGAGTCAGGTTGATTGTAATCCCTCTAATTTCGTAATATAGGGCGTCGTTATAGTTCATTCGTTCAATCCAAATTGAATCGAATTGCATTTCAGCATATAGAAATAAGGATATTGTTAATAATACCGGCTTATATGGCTTTTAGTTTTCCACAATAATCATCATTGACGAACAGGTTTTATGACTAGAAATGGATTTTGAGCCTTTTCACATATAAAGATGTATTGAAGGAGAATTGTTCCACAGGAGGAATGAAAATTGAAAGGTTGGTTTCTTCTTCTATATATGTTATGGATATCACTTCCTTTGGCAGCAAGCGTTTATAATGTCGAGAAATAGCTAGTTATGCACAACCAAACAATATATAATAATGCCGTGTGATCCACCGATTTCTAGTAGTAAGAAAAGGAAGTATCCAACTCCAAATAAGTGCTATGACAGTTGTTCAGGTTATTTTAATCCGTTTAAGGAAGCAAATTCAAGACAAAATACTTGAGTAGAAGCCTCCACAAGCGACCGACGTCATCATTGTTTTCTTCTGAAGTTCTGCTGTTGAAGAATTTTACTTCACCAAACTTTTTGATATCATATACCTAGTTGCATATCAAACGTAATATTCCATTTACAATCATGACTAATGAGCATAATTATCCTTAATTGACAATGGTTAAAGGAGAATTCTTTTTTATCAAAAAAAATTAAAAATGGTTCAAAAAGAATATTAAATTCAAAACAAGTTTGCTTTCCACATTGAATTGCCACAAAAATGTTCTTGATTGTTGACTAAACCAAAGCCTAATCGATGGGCACACTTACTTCCAATTGAACGAGATTGAGTACTCTCCATGCACTACAGCCGTCTCCAATCTAGTGCTTCTAGCTTTATTTCCTCAAAATAAAACAATTAAGAACAAAGACTTTAGCCACAAATAAACAAGGGTGTTGTTTCTGCTCAATTTCTAGTGTTGATCATGAAATTAAGATGCTTACCATGTATATACTTTAAGACTCTTTCAATTCATTCTGCTGCGAAAGTCATAGTAGCTCAATTAGAATGAGTATCAATTGCTGCCAACACAAACTTACCCCTTTCTGTCACATTTTGTTCGTTCACATCTAAGGTTTTTTTATACGAGTTCAATTTTGATCATTAATTTTTAAAACATTTTATTTTATAAATTTTTTAATTTCATGATTTTGTTAAAAATAATTATCAAAGTTGAGTCAATTTAATCATAAATAAATAAATAAGGACAAACATAATGAGTGGAAAAGCGTACAAAATTTTATAAAGACAAAACTATAAAAATCCATAACAACCTCTTAGAACAACAGTAAACATACGCGAGTGATCCATTTCTTGCATTGCTAAAGTATTTATAATTACAGTTTAAATCAATCAAGCTAGAAGCAAATAGTGATCACCAAACAACAAATTTCAACAATAAGCAGCTTTTGCTTCATCAATGTAATAATTTTACACAAATACCTTGAGTATCTTATCTATTCTGAACTGGCTACTAAGAATGTTGTATAGAGTATAGACTCTCCACCTTGACATGCTTAGTTGTTGCTGACAAAGCTTTTGATTAATTTCCTTGAAATTCCAAACTTCAGCTTCCAAATACTCAGAAATGGTTCTTTCGTTTCATGTCGGTGGACAATGATAATCTTCAATGTCATTCCACCTTCAAAATGGTTGCAATGTGTGAATAACACTTTCCTACATAATGCACAGATCATGATGCAATGATTGAATGCAAGAGGGACATTGTAACTCGTACAGCCACTACATTCAGCAACTATTCTAACATATGGTTAATTTGAAAGTACCATCCAAGCAAGGCGTAGTACTTACAGCCTACAGAGCAAACCTAGTGGAAAGTTGAATGGTCGGAGGATGCACATTTGTTTCAGGAATGCCGTATAATAAAAGGAAACTACATTTGATAAGGATATATTCTTACATTCAAGTGTGCACTATGCTATTGTTTAAAGAATTATGGAAGAAAAGATTATTGACGAGCTTGAATTCTGAAAATCAATAATACAGCGTCACTAAAATGGTGCCCATAATCATAATATTCTCGCCATTCATCTCTGAATATCAATAAATTTTAACTTCAGCTTCATGTATCCAGCTTGAACTACCATTTCTTCTTTATATGCATCCACTCTTAAAACTGTCGCTCTCTTGCCAAGGGATGAAACATGCACTGTATAACCAACCTTAGGAAGCTCAGTAATTTTTGTTGCATCATAAATGCCAAATGAAAGATTTACAAATAAAAACTCAATGACCTTTTCACCGGTCTAAGCTTTGATAGAGCAGTATTCTGGCATAAAGAGTTTAAAAGATAAATAGCCAACTATTGCAAGTCGGCAGAAGAAAACTTCATCTGCTTTAAAAAGGATACCTGATTGTGGTTGTTTAATAATTCAAATAGAGGATGAACTCATATTGGTATTTTGCTGCTCATTTTCAACTGCTGTAGCATGCCTGTAATTACTTGCTAGTGTATGCTTGCATGCTTTACTGAGTTGAGATTGTTTCATTGCAGATGTGCGAAGCTGCCGTACCTTTTTGTGAAGGGTAGATCAAGCTACCGCAGCAGCCTCAGATAGTTCTTGCATCTTCATACATCTTTGATCAGAATGCCCAGATCCTTGAGCTTCCTTCTGGTGAGCAATAGCATTTCATGACCCCTTGACAGCCTGCAATCACAAGCAGTACCCAGACACCAGATAGAGCATCCACTGGCTTGCAATACAGGTTTGGAGCTCCTTAAACAACAGCAGCCTTATTTTATAATATTATCAACTATGATGAGCAAGCAACTTTTACTTAACTTGGGTAATTGCTGCAATGACAAACTTTTTCTTGCCCTCCACATTCAGTATTCCCAGGCTAAGGGCCTATCAGATGGAGGAGAGTGCAAATGGACCTTAACATTTTCCTCCTCTAATCAAACAGTTATAGCAGACGAGAATGTGGGTTAAAAACATGCAGAATTGAAATCCAGCCTCCTCTAAAAGGAAGCACGTCACTAAATTATTCAGAATAAGAATTTTACCGTACATTTGAATGAGAATGAGTGTAAAATGTCAATGTCAAAACATGTTACAAAAAGGTAAAGCACAATGACCTTGAATTCAGAAAGAGACAGAAGCAGTCTCATTTAGGTTAGGCAGGTTTATTCATTCTTAATTTTGGAGAGTTTAGTATATCTAAAGATGACCAAAATGAGGTTCCATTGACATCGTTATATTTTCATTTTGGATACTTTCAATCATGTATTAGTCTAAAAAGAATTATTGCTTCAAAATCCACCCTCCAAGGTTATTTAAAATTCAAATGATACTTGGTTAAATAATGTACAGCAAAATGCCTTCACCAAATAAAAGAAGAATAATTAGAAATCTTATACTAAGATAGTCTGATATAAATTCCAGTAGTAGACCAGCCAAACAACAAAGCTCACTAAAACAGTTTCTAGAGAAAATTGAACATTGCAGAGATAAAAATGAATTGTGTTTGTCTAAAATGCCTGCAAATATAAAAGAAATGGACATGCTTCAATCAAAATGGGGTTGGCAATGAGCACTTCTATTAACCAATATTCTATAAGGTTACAGAGATAAATTAGGATCTTTACTCTATATTAATTTAGAATCATTAGACTCATTCAGCGAGGATAAATATGTAAATAGCCATTAGAGAAGTCATAAAAAAAATAATAAAAAGACTCGCTAATCAGAACACAACTTTTATAGATGCCAAGCAATTAATTAAGGTAATGACTAATGACCGAGAGCAATTATCCTTATAGCCTTTCATACCAATGAGCATGAAAGCTTTTAATTATTAGAAGCTCATTCTTTCACATCAAGTAATCAATTTTAAGAAAAAGATACATACATCAGATAATACTGAGACTCATTGATAAGCTCCTGAAAATTTTTCTTGAATGTTTCCATATCTATTATTACCTGCATTAGGAAATGAACCAAATATTAGAAGGCATATTTATGAAGGATGGACCAGTGATCAACGCTCTTCTTAAGCAGTCATAAAATCAAGGTGTTCATACAACCGTGCAACTGAATAATAGTAACTTTCAGTAAAGCAAAGTAGAAAATAATAGATGCACAATCCACAAGCTGATAATAGAAGACACCAGAACTTAACTAAGAACAAGCATACTATGTGTAACCAATTACCTCATCAATCTCTGCCCTAGTAGCACCATATAACTCATGAGCATTATTGACAACTATGCTGGGTACTCCCAATCTTTCAGATATATTAATTGCATTTGAATGACCTAGCACAACTTTACACTGCCAAAGTCAGTAAGCCACAATAAGTCTCATTATAACAAGATGACGATATTACACAAAACACCAAATAACCAGCAGTTCCTCAGTTGCAAAACTTGGCTTCAAAAAACATGTTGGTGCAAGATTCAGTTAACCAGCAGCAAACAGTCCAAGAACCAAGCAATTGATTGTTCTTGGTCACATATTTAAGACTGAATACCTGGTACGCCCCAGAGAATCCCATAAGTTGGCTTCCAATTTCCTTCATCAAACGCCATACAAGCATTTTCAAACGCATCATTACTGCCAAACAACATTCTTGGAAAAGAAATTTCTAAGTACCATATTGAATTTTCTATAATCAATATTGAAGGTTGAGCTAAATTTTCTTTAATTCAAGTTTTGCAATTAATAAGGATGGAGAAAAATGGAAATGTAATCTTTTTGATAAGGTTTTTCTGCTTGATTCATCAAATAGGAACAAACTGAAGGTCCCTGATTAACAATCTTAGAACCTTGCTTGTTGATTAGGTTAATGGAAGTATCTTCTTTCATCCAAATATGTGATTTTCCCATCCTTTTTTACCTCTATAATACAAATTTTATCAGGTATGACCCTGCTAAGCAGTAGCCTCTAGCACCTAAGGCACAAGACTGGGCTAAACCATTTGACACCAAACATTGAAATAGTTTCATGTGCACTGATAAGCAAAACTAAGCAACAAATTTATGCATATGGACAATAGAAGACTCTTAAAGCTTGTCGTTTGATCAGCCCCTGATCTTATACACCATCTACCATCAATACTACTCATCTCCTAAGCCAATAACACAGTGGTAGTTAGGATAAAAACATGATTCCATGATGATTGACAAAACATATGTTGGAAATGGAATGAATCTTACCAGAAGGGATGCTTCTTTTGTTTCATTCCTAATTAGATTGTCCATTATTTGATGCAACTGAACAGAGAAGCAATTTATACAGTTAAAATAGCCAAGTAGAAAAAAGAAAACCCAAACCAATACTATAATTAACAGAAAAAATATGTGAAAGCAACAGTGAAAACCAATAATGATAGATTTGCACCCTGATAAATGAAGATTTGCACCCTGATAAATGAAGATTTAGTACATGTAAAAACATTCCCTTTCCCTTGAGTATGAGAAGGAGAGATTGTAGGGTAGAGTTTGACCAAATTTAATATAAGTTGAAGTAATTAAAAACACATAAGGCCTAAACATCTCCAGAGTGTATGAGCTTAATTCAGATGAATGAAGGTAAAAGGATTCATGCAAGCATACTGCATAGGATAAGTAGCCTGGTTTAAGGGCTTAAGACTTAGCTGAGTTTAATAATATTTTTATCTCTTCATTCAAAAAGATGTTTAAACTTAAAGAAATTTCACCTTTCTTTCAAGTGTTCACACTTGATCACGTGCTATTTTAAGGGCAGAACTTTGAAAGAGAATACGTTTTAAGATGGAATAAGACCAGTGGATATAATTGGAAAAAATAAAATTCTTTTCTATATTTCATTTCATGAACGAAACTGAGGCAAAAGGAACAAACCGCAGAACTTTAACAGAACCATCTTCATCTATAACTTGCTGAATCAAATTAATTATTGATTGATTTACAACCAGTTGTGTAAGCTACAAGCATTTTTTTTTTTTTTGAAAAAGAAAAAGCAAGTAAATCTAAATATGCATATGCACATGGAAGAAAAATGGAACACTGAGCATTTGAAAGGCAGAAATTACCATTTCACTGAGCGGCATGAATTGTTTATACCAATCAGAGTCTTCCTTGATTGCAGCTTTTAAATTAAGGTGCAAAGCTTTAAACTGCAGCAGAGGTATAAGAGGCATTGCTTCGTTTGCAGCTAAAGGTAAGTCTCCACGCGCATGTTTGATGGCAGATTCAACCTTTTGACACAAAAATACAAACACTTGGAAGAATCATAAATTGGAGCTAATAAATCAAAATTCAAAGAAAGTGAAGAAAAATTACGAGAGCAAGGTCGACGGAACTCAAGCCCAAGTTAAAAGAGCCATGGTTGTCCATTAAGATTGCGGCATTGTTATCTTGTAAAAGCCTCAAACTCTCTTGGAACGTCTGATTGAGAGACCAAAGCCGGGCCTGTCAATTCTCAAATGTTATTCCACCAAGCAAAAAAAAAAAAGAAATGCAGGTTTTATTTAAAAGGAAAGGGGAAAAAATGAAAAACCTTAGTGGCTTGACGACCCAAGGAAATGCGGGCAAAAGAGGAAATGGAGTCGCAGAGTTTGCCCCATTCTAGAACCCTGAGAGATTATGGTCTTCAATCGAGGATGATACTTTGAAATAAACGTCCCCTTTCGGTTACATTGATTGGGTAACCATAAATGGTACCCAGCACTGCAAAGATTGGCACCCGCATGCTCATCAAGCTCAGAGAGTTAACCTGTTAGAAATGGCGGCATGGGTATAGGGATTCAACGGCCCCTCCTAAGCTCGCTTCAATTTTTTCCTCTATGATTAGTAATGTTGTATCATCGTGGTGGCGTGGGGTTAAAGAAAGGGTTGGGGGGATGGGATTCACGTGCCTTGCCTCTGAATGGTACATGGACTCAGGTACGAGTGTGCGATGCTGATTTGTATTTAAGCGCCTCGTCGTTTGGTTGAAATTTTGTATTTAAGCTCAAGCCCGATTCAAAAGAGGCGAAAGCTTGCAGGTCTAGGACGACACATGGGTCCATGGACAGATTATCATTTATGTTTCTCCACATTTCTAGCGATAACAAACATGCATCACACATCATCCAAAATATTGTGAATGTTCCCATTGGAATTGGATTCATGAGAAAATTCAAACGAACTTGTTTTAATTGGAATATATAGTAACAATAGTTTATTAATTACCACCATACTGGTCATGTTATATATGGATATAATCCGATTTTCAATTGTTACAGATCATGTTAAAAAAATGTAACAACAGTGGGGGATTTGAAGCTGATCATCAAATCTAATCAGGGTGACACAAAATACAATCCAAGCTTCTAAAAGTAACAGTTTTTGAACTACGATGAACCCTCTAGGCTCTATCTTTTCTTTTTCTGTGATCACAGAGGGACGAGAGGTGCATCGCTTTTGACTTCTTCCTTGCTTGGGGCAGCATTTGAATTGTGAGCAGCTTCAGCCTCCTTTACCGGCAGTACTGTGGTATTATCAGTAACCTCAACCTTATCCTCAGCAATGTTGGTGGAGGCTTTAACGTCCTCCTCTGTTGGTTTGGCGGTCTCAGCCACTGTCTCTGCGGAAACTGGTTCAGAAGCAGCGCCCTCTGGCTCAGAGGAAGAGCCTTGAGCCGTTTTATCTGATTCAGAAAGATCTACCAAAGGTTTTTCAGTCTGAGTCTCACCTCCATTAGTGTTATCCTGCATTCATATATATCGACAATGGAGAATATTAACGAAATAACTACACAGAACTGTTAACTTGTAAATTCTCTAATTGTACAAGTAGAAATTTAGCAAGGTGTTACCTGAGCAGCGGTCCCAAGCTGAGGCTTCTCAGGGATGTCATACTCCTTAGGTTTGCTCGCACAGCCTCCCATTATACGTACGGAAATTTTGGGATGATTGGGCGAGTCTTTCTCTGGAGGTGGTCGGATTGTAGTTTCTGCAATATGCTTTTATAGATTCAAGGAATGGAAGCAATTGAAGGGGATCCTTTAATATAGGCAGAGCACCTTCTAATCCAATAATGAGGAGAATTTCTCGGGTCAATAGCCCTTGCAGGCCTGGCAATAAGGCTTTTATGGTCTATCTATATTTGACTTTGTCAATTCGCTTATGGACTGGACAGCATAGTTTTCTCTTGCGCCTTTCATGCCGGGGTGAGGGTGAGAAATCAGATGTATATCGGTTGGAGTAATTAGTTGTGGCAATTATATATGGCAGTGGAAATTCTTTAGCTCCCGCCTAGTCCGCCGTTAAGATCTTGTCCCTTCTTATATAGCACCAAGAACAAAATGGAGATTTGGTAAATTTGCAAATCAAGATTTGAACCCCAGATGAGATCTTTCTTCAATCATCCACCCTGGTTGGCTGGTCGTCGTCTTCCATCCGAGGCCAATTCACTCCTAAATATTCCCCCGTCAAATACAATGTCACACCACACAAAGGAACGACTGGGACCAAAGGCACTGACTTAAAGAATTAAAAAGTTTTTTACACATAATTATCAATAATAATCAATCAATAAAAATATATTAAAATTGAGCTCTCCCAAGAGATGTTCATAATTAATATTTAATCAAATTAATTAACTGAATTAATTTAATTCAATTAATCGATCGATTATTAAATTAATTTCAATCGATTATCAAAAATAATTTTTAAAAAATTTATATTTTCAATTAATTCGATTCAAAAATCGAATTAATTAAAATTTTAGTCAAAATATTATAAAATTTATATATAAAACTAAAAATATATGAAATTATTTATTTTATTTTAAGTTATTAGAGTTTTTAACTTAATAATTTGATATTTAAATGTCTCTATTGAATAGTTTATTTAATTTATTTTACATATGAAAAAAATAAGAATTTAACATATAATTTATTTTATTTTTTAATTAATCAAAATCAATTAATTTTTAAAATAAAAAATTTAATTTATTTAATAATTAATAAAATATTATAATTTAATTAATTTAATTTTAAATAATTTAATTCAAATTTAATCGAACTTACCGAATTAATACCTTATTTTTATAAAATTTTGCTTAGTTGGCCGCTCATTTCTTTCCATTTGTCAGCTAGTTGCATTTCGGGATGTTGGGCTTTTAGATTTGTTGGCGTCATCTTAGGTCTAGCCTCTGGATTCTATCTGTTACAAAGGCCATTGGTAGTTTGGTACTTCAGAGTTAAAATTATTTGATTGCAACTTTTTTGTTTTAATAGTTCACTAAAAAAATGAGAGAGGGACGGAGAAAATGAAGCGAGCAAGAGAGAATAATCTAATTTAAGGGCTTACGGTAGTTTTAAGAACAGAGGGAAGACTCTCGGAAAAATATAAGGATAAATATAAAAATTGTTCATATATTATATGATTTTTATTAGTTTAATATTTCAAATAATAAAATTATCATATTGATATTTTTACTTTTATTTTGTTATTCATTTTAACATTTGAGATTAACATTGTCAATCAATTTATTAATATAATATAAAAATATAATAAAATACTGATATTTATTAAAAAAATTTAATCAATGTTACATCATTAATTATCATATTAACATTAAAAAAATTTAAATAAAATTCTAAAAAATTAAAAAAATCTGAAATATTTTTAAAATTATAAAAAATTAAAAAAAACTTCAATATTTAAAAAAATAAAAATTTTATGAAACTTAATAAATTCAAAAAATCTCAAAATTTTAATAGAAAATCCAAATAAAATTTAAAAATTTATGAAAAATTCAAAAAATTGAAAATTTTAATAAAAATAAAATTTTCTTAAAATTCAAACAAAATTAACAAAAACTAAAAAAATTTAAAATAAAAAATTTATAATTTTTTAAAAAAATCTAAAAATATTTTAAAATTTCTAAAGTTTTTTCATTTTTTTGAACCTTACAATTTAAATTGTTATATATATCTTAAATTTTTCTTTTTTTTTTAATTTTGATATTTTTTATTAAAATTTTAAGTTTTTATATTATATTTTTTCAGAATTTTTAAAACTTTTTAGAATGTTTTAGATTTTTAAAATTGTTTAATTTTTCAAAAAATTTAAAAACTTTCATAAGTTTTTAAAAATTTTTAGATTTTTCATGAAATTTTATATTTTATATATTTTTAATTTTTTAATGTTTTGTGAATTTTTATTGAATCTTAAGAAAATTTTATTTTTATTAAAATTTACATTTTTTAATTTTTCAGAATATTTTAAGTTTTTGGATTTTTTTATTAAAATTTATATATTTTTCTGAATTTTTAAATTTTCATAATTTTTAAATTCTTATAATTTTCAAATATATTTTTAAACTTTTTATTTTTTATAAGTTTTAAATATTTTAGATTTTTTAAAAAATTTAAAACTTTTTAGAATTAAAAAAATTTTCTTTTAATATTAACATGACAATTAATTATATGATGTTAATAAAACTTTTTTATATATGTCAACATCTTATTGGATGTTTATACTACATTAATAAGTTAACTAATAATATTAATTTGAGATATCAAAATGAATGGTAAAATGAAAATTAGAATATCAAACAAATAATTTTATTTTTTTGTTCCAAACTAACAAAAAATGTATATTACAAAAGTCATTTTCATATTTAATCAAAAAATATATAATATATTTATCATAAAAAAAATTTTATTCAATTTCATCATTTTCTTAATTTAAAATTATTAAGATTTCAATCATTATGATTTAGTTAAAAGATTATTACTTAATTTTAAATAAAGTAACAACAACTTTTAAATTTTTTAAAAGATATAGTCTAGACCTTAACAAATATTTAGAAAAAAATAAAAAAAAAAACATAGATTTTTTAATCTTTAAGATTTATAAGATAGATCACTTGGCATGTTTTGTAGTATTTGCATTGAGAAGACATATATAGATTTCACATAATATTAAAGATTAATGCGGCTAATGATGCCTAAATTACAATAAAATATTTAATATTTAATTGATATTTGAAATTTAAAAATTTTTAATATAATATTTAAAATTTGAATATATTAATTAATGTGATACTTGAATGATTGTTTATTCATTATGTATTATTATTTAAAATTAACCACGTTAATGATAAATATTATATTAATTAATAAATTTATAATTTAGATATTGTATTAAATTTTTTTTAAATTTAAATATCATATTAAATATTTCACTTATTTAAAAAATTATTTATAACATTAACCTTAATATTAATTAATAATATATAATATAAAAATAACATGTGCTATATAATTATTATTTTTTGGTCACATATATATAATTATTAAATCAAGTTATATCATGTTTGGTTCCTTAAATATTAAAGTCAAGATTTGAACTACTTTTTAAAAAGCCACAAATTTGTTTAAAATTATTTAGTAAGTTTAAGTCATATTTGATGTATAAGATAATAAATGTGATACAATATTAATAATTTTATATTATATTTGATTTATATTTTTAAAAAATGATAGAATCTTTTCAAAGTAGAAAAAATTATTCTTAACCTATAAAATTAGATTTACATATTTTATTATATCCTTAAAAACTATATCAATAATTTAAATTATATAAATTTTTAAAAAATAATTTTGACTAATAAATAAATTATTTTATTTTAATCTTTATAAATATTAAATATAAAATAAAATATTATTATTTAATTTAATCTTATCCCACTCTATAATAATTTTATAATAATTTTATGTACTAAACTTATTCTTAATATTTTTATCTAATTCTTTTCAAATATTGGGCTGCTAATCTGATGAGCTTCTTGGGCAGCTTCAAACATTACCGGTTAAAAATGTGAAAATATTGTTTTAAAAAATAACAATTTATTATTATATTGATTTTCTACGTGGCATCAATCATCAGTCGTCATCAATAGGAATACCTGTATTGGATTTTTTTGGGAAAAAGGAAGAAGCTTCATTATTATTCTACAAAGTTTTTAAGTGCTAAAAATAAACCGCTTGTTTGACAGTTTGACGACAAAGATTTCATTCTTTTCTTTTTCCTTTTATTGTTTTCTTCGTTTCTCATTTACGTACGTTAAGTAAATTCGTTGCTTTCGAGGCTAGGGTTAGGCCTTGATTTCCTGAATTCCTCTGTTCTTCTGCCATCTTAATTTCGCTGTTGTCTGAGTCGGGGAAGAAAGAAACACACGACGAGCTTTCCCTTTTCATTTACCCAAAGGAAAGCTCGCCTTCGCTGTTAATATTCTGACTAATAAGTTTTAACCAATTTTCCGAGTTTGAGATCAATCAATCACATCAGTCATGGCGGCGGTGTTGTCTCCAATACCATTCTGTGAATCCGCATTGTCCCTGTTGTTGCTGCTGCTCCTCGTTCCGTTCTCCTCTTCGTCCAGCGTCAGATCACAACAGCAATTCTCAGCCATCCGATTGCCTTCCGAGGCCGATCCATGCGCCAGTTCCCCCCGACCCAATTCCTGTCCCGTCAACTGCTTCAGGGCTGATCCTGTTTGCGGGGACGACGGAGTTACCTACTGGTGCGGCTGCGCCGATGCTCATTGCGCGGGGGCTAAAGTTGCCAAAATAGGATTTTGTGAGGTTGGTAATAATGGTGGAAATGGATCTTTCCCTGGTCAGGCTCTGCTTTTGGTGCATATAGTTTGGCTCATTGTTCTGGGCTTCTCTGTTTTGTTCGGCCTCATCTGATTTTCTTTTTTTTTTTTCCTCAACAAGAACAAAGAGGGTCTTTTTGACATCCTCATTCCTCAAGTTTTTACGGTTACAGGAGACAGGCGTATGTGATGTGAGCATTTATGTAACTAAGCATTAAAATTTTCATTTCCAGGCCATTATTTTATTCTGTTCATCTCTTATCTATCGCATTGGAATCTCCTAAGTGACGTAGTTCCAGCTGACCATGCGAAAAAGCTTCCTTTTTCTGAATTTCGTTTTCTTTAAGATATCAAATACGACCAAGTTCATTCAAAGTATAGTGAGTGATGACTTGCAAGCTTTTTCCATTTGGCTATGAATTATCTTAGTTGGGTTAATGCTTCAGAACTGGGATTTTACGTTACTTTAGCTAATTGAATTATACAATGTGTTGATCCTTTAGAGATATTTCTATATAAGATGTTACATATTGAATTTGTAGATATCATTTTATTTGGAGGGGAAACGATTACTATCATTTTGTTTGCCACTCCTTGTTATGGAACTCTTTGGAGCAGAGATAATTTTCGGACAGTGGCAGGCCATCTATGTTGTCACTAAAATCTTGGTATGAATAATAACAAAAAAATAACAGTTCATTTAAAAAAAAAATGAAAAGGACCCAAGTCTTTCACATTGGCCGGGCAGCCATTAAAGGTTTCACACAGTCTATGGTCTCGTTCGCACAGGCTACTAGGCGTATTTCTAAGAACTACAGCAAGCCATGTGGTAATGCAAAAGGCATATCATGCTATCATGCCCTCTTTTTGTGCATAAATCTGAAAGCCTTGCCATTTTATTTTATGAACACACCTAGAACTGTTGGTAATATTTCTCATGAAGAAAGAGTTGTAGGTAGAAGAGATTTTATACATTCACATGTTGCTGCAGAAACGATAGTTGGTTGCTTGAAAAATTATATGAGAAAAATAAAGATAGAGTTTTATTGGATTTAGAGTTTAGAAAGTAAGTATAAGAAATCAAATCAAATCAAATCAAATGCTTGTATCCCTATCTTATGTATAGTTTTTCACTGCAAATAGAGGGGCAACACAGGTGTTTCCTGAAAAATTTTTAACCTTTAGTTGGATTCTCGATGCTTAAAAAGATATCCCGGCCTGTATTACATGGTAGTCAAACTCTTACCAAATGAATGAGCATCCTTTTATCAATTCTAAAATCCCCTAAATCCTTGCCTCTCTTTTTGAAAGATTCAGAAACTTTTAACAAGTATCAAAGTAGCCTCTCCATACAAGAACCCAGAAACACAATATGGTTGCAAACAATGGAATTTTGGTAAAATCAATTCTATTCATTTTTCTTGGAACCCTGAAGTGAAAATCCTGCTTGGCCTACATGATTTGTGTCCCTTGCTACTGCTGCTCTGGGGTTCTGGATTTCACCTTCAGTCTTTGCAGAGGGAGCATCCATTGTGCTTCTGGATAGCTCAGGGGAAGGGTTAACATGAGAACCATCAGTAGAAACATCGCTGACCAGGCTTTTGTACATAGTGAGAGCTTGGGCAATCATGTTGGCAGGGTTTGCAGCGGAACTAGGAAGCAACATTGTTGTGCCCTAACAAATGAGCAGAAAGGACAAGTTCAAGCAGCATGATAGAATGAAAAAACATTGATAACATTAATACTCGCAACACTGTCTGAGATCCCTCTTTTACCTCCTTGGCAATATTACTGAAGGCTTGAACGTACTGCTCTGCAATCCTTAAACTTGCTGCCTGCAAAAGAGACCATATTTTTTAGTCCTATTGTCACTTAGGAATGAGCATGATATCAGTACCTCTCATCTACAAATGACTTCAGCCTTAGCAATTTATGATTCATATAACACTCACAAATAAAAAATGCTCAGCACCTCAGGTTCAACAAAGGGCTTTCTGTCTCTCTGAGACTAATAATTCTCTCCTAGAGCATAAAAAAATACAGGGAATAGACTGAATGTCTTCTAAGATCTAACTAGAGTTGTACAAACAATTGAACCAAGCTTTAACTGGAAAAGACAAAGAAGAAAGAAGAGAGAGGATTATAAAAAAAAACACTTAAGTGTACAGTATATTCCTTCTATCTGCAAAACCCAGACAAATAATAAGCATCAAGTCATTGTACAAGTGCAGACACTAGGAATTGAGATCTATTAGGCATAGACTAATTGACATTTATAAGCATCACAATGAAGCCAACATGTTTATGAAATTTTATAAATGGAAACTCATGATACCATAAAAATAGACAAGGAAATCTTGTTTGAATCCTCCTCTAATAGTTTCATGTTGGATGGTTTAAACGTTACCACCTGTTATACACACACATGATGACAAAGGTGGAAGAACCTCACCTCAACTCCCCCATTTTCCTTCAAGGATTGGGACACCAAGGCGATTCCTCTAGCTGTAGCTTGTGCTCTAGCAAGGATGGCTTCTGCTTCACCTGATAAATGAGTTAAGAAGGAAAAATTGAAGGCATCAAGGGAATAATCAAATGAATCAAGAACACTAATAAAATCATTGCTCGATCAGTTTGGGTTGTCATATGAGGAGAGTTCATGATAATATAAATAGATAAATAATCAAAATTAATTACTCACATAAACTTTAGTTACAATTCATATAAAGGCCTATCATTTTTTAAAATAATGACTGTTTACAAGTTGATGCTCACTAACCTTGTGCTCGGTTAACCTGATCCATTTTTGCAGCTTCAGATGCTAAGATCACAGCACTTTTCCTACCATCAGCAATATTTATGTTGGCCTGTCTTTCTCCTGTTAGAATTAACTTTTATGAATAAATCATGCCATCTAAATAAACTATTAAAAGAGGATACCATTAGATACTACCTTACCCAAGAAAGGTAAAGAAATAATGAAATTACTGCACTACCTTCAGATTCAAGAACTTGAGCTCTCTTTTTACGCTCTGCTTCTGCTTGCATCTCCATAGCTGCCCTCACTCCACGTGGTGGAGATATATCCCCTGGGATGACAGGGAAGTGAAATATATACAAAGGATGTATTGGGAACATAAAGAATGCCCAAAAAAGGAAATATTGGCTAAACCATACTCACTTATCTCATAACGGAGACATTGGAGGCCCCAGTCTTTTGCAGCCACATTGATGGCCTCCTGCAATACTCATGTCATTTCAAAAGAATCATCATCCTCTTTCTTAAGAGAGGAGGAAGGGAATGGGAGTGCTTCATTTTGAGACTTCTATGGTGCAATAAGAGTATGAGATTAATATGGCATTATTCCAACATTTTTGGCACTTAGAGAATCACTTGTCAGTGGAAAATTATCACAGGCATTTAACAAACTAACTAAAAGAAATATAACACATCAGGCATAAACTTGTCATAGCAGGCACAACAAGCTTTGACACATAGTTTAATCATGAAAATTTTATTGATGTACATAAACTTACCCACCCTACCGAGTGAAAAAGCTATATAATATATAATTTTGAACTTGCCATCATTGGAAAGGAACCATCAAAGGCATACCTAAGCCTTCACATAGATATAAAATGTGTGGAAAGATATAAATTAATCAAATGTTAAATGAAAGAGTTTATGACCAATTTCCAAAGTGCTGCATATATTTCACAGAAGCATAAACAACATTCTTATCCCTGAGTGAAAGCAAACCAATGGAAAATAGAGTAGTTATTCACTATGCCTCCTCCCAAACTGTTGGCACAAAGTCAGAGTCATATTTATGGCTCATCTAAAGAAGACAAAGGATTTGTAGAGAGCCTCGACCTATCTTCCATTTATCCCATGTTAGAATTGTACTAAAACTCAATTTACTTGATGTCTTGGCGATTCATGTAATGAAAAAAAAAAGGGAGAATCAAAGAAAGAAAACGAACCACAATCTTTTCGTTGAGAGTGTCTCTCTCTTCGAAGGTCTTGTCGAGGGTAATTTTACCAAGCTCGCTACGCATGGTGGTTTGAGCAAGCTGAATGACGGCATAGATTGGGTTCTCAACGCCATAAGAGGCAAGCTTGGGGTCCACAATCTACAAGGTTCCAAAGCAAATTATAGACCAAAGATTTTAAAATTGAGCAAAGGGCAAAAGAAGAGAGTGGAAGAAAGACCTTGACATAAAGAACGCCATCTATGAGAATGCTGACATTGTCCTTGGTAATAGCGGATTGGTCTGGGATAGGAATGGCCTCTTCCTTGAGGGAATGAACATAGGCAATTCGATCCACGAGTGGGATTAGGAAATGTATTCCAGACGGCAACGTTTTCAAGTATTTCCCGAATCGTTCTATCACGTAGGCTTTCTTCTCCGGTACGATGCGGATGCCCCAGTTGACTGGAGGTGTAGTCTCGTAACTACAAATGATAATTGAAATCATTTTTGGGTTCTTGAATAGAGAATAAATATACAATATTAAACTACCTGAAGCTAGGGTCGCGGCCCGTGCGAAGGTGGCGGACGGCGGTGGTGAACAGCGGAGAAGAGAGAGGCGGAGTGGAAGAAGAATGCTGGCGGATAACGGCGGTTGAGAAGGAGGATTCCTGGAGATATCTAAGAGTCCTCACAGCTTTGCTCAGGGAATTCACTCTCCACATCTGATTCATTTCACTCTTTGCTATGGACTTCGAATTTCTATTTCTATGAATTTTTTTTTATTGGCCAAAGGGGTTTTAAAGAGTGGTAAAGCCCTAGTTAAACCTTTGAATTGGAAAATCAAAATCTTTTTCTACAAGTCTCTCCGGTTTTTCTCTACCATTATCCTCCAACAAACAGTTATGGGCCTTACCCAATATTTTCCTAAGCCCAAAACACAAGTTTTTTCGGACATTTCATATTTTGGGAGACTCGGGCCACCTACAAGGATAATGTCTTTTTTTTTTTTTTTTGAGTCATTCATGCTGGATTATTTTCTTTTAACTTTATATTTGGGTTTTTATTATCATTTTTTTCTTATTTTGAAAATAATTTTTTATTTTTTGTTTATTTGATGTGTTAATTTTAAATTTTTTATAATTTAATTTATCTCTTTATTATGCTTATTTAAGTGATTTATTTGTAAAACTTTTATGCTCATTTGATATTAATTAAATTTTAATTGAAAATCATTAGATTAGTGGATCGTTCTTTCCAATCTTATTTGTAAGTTTAAAACTTATCCTTATTACATGTAAATGATATATAAACCAGGAAGTGACTGCTTTGTGGAATATCTCTTAAATTCAATTGCTAGTGACATTTACGAACACCCTACTAAGCCATTCTAAATTCATAACCTGAACAAAGCTTAACAATTTCTTAATGCAATGATCAAAAAGTTCACAAACACATGGATTCACTTGAATGGGCCGCAAGAATATCCAGAGCAAAGACCCGTGGCACTGTTGTAAGGGAACAACGCAACGGGTCGAGTATCTGGCAGCTCTGGAATTTGTCTGTCCATGCTCAGAAACCCCAACACTTCCTCCATGGTAGGCCTACCTTTAGACTCGTTTAGTGTACAAAGTAGCCCAATGTCCAAAACCCGAATGGCTTGTTCTAAATTAACCAGTGAGCCCATCCTCCCATCCACTACCTTTACCTTTTCATCCTTCACATGCATCCTCCAAGCAAAATCTACCAAATCCCTTTCCTCTTGGTTCACTTCAGGCTCTAACCTTCCCCGTCCCGAAACCACTTCTAACACAAAGATTCCAAATTCGAAGACATCAGCTGTCTGGCTAACTGCTGATTCAAACCTAGTTGAATCCGTTGCTGATAGCACCATCCCAAAATCACCTAGAACCGCTCGGAAGCTTACATCAAGAAAGACGCTGCTTGTTTTCATGTTCTTGTGAGCGAGTTGCTTGGAATGCAGGAAGCTTAATGCTTCTGCAACATCGTTGATAACTTTGAAACGTCGTGTCCAGGGAAGAACCCCAACGCCAAAGAGCCATTTCTCAAGGCTTCCATTGGCATAAAAGTCATACACAATCATCATTTCGCGGTTATCATGACACCATCCCCTGATGGGGACCAAATTTGGGTGACGAACTCGGCTCATAGCACCAATTTCTTTGAGAAGCCGTCGTCTATCCAAGCCTTGCTGTGAGTTAAGAAACTGAGCAGACAGCCTTTTGATAGCCACTTGACAGCCATTGGAAAGCTTCCCTCTGTAATAAATACCTCTGGCGTCGCTACCTAGTATTTCTGCCTCGCTAAAACCCCGAGTTGCTGATGAAACTTCAGGAAACGTGAAGCGGCGGGGTTTGTTGGGAGGGCTGGGCCGTTGCGTTTTCCCTGGCGCAGTAAGTTTTGAATTGTCATTTCTTCCCCTGCGGCTACAGAAAAAGAAACCAATCATAGTAGCCAAAGCTAGTACAGCTACGGCAATGAAAATAAAAAAACTGCTTTGCGGTTCTTTGTTAGATCTCTTTTGGGTAATTTGAGTAGCATCAGATTTCTGGAGGATGATTTTATTCTCACATGTTTCCTCCGAAGGGATGCGAAGAAAAGCTAGGCTAGTTGAGCTGAAGATCCAGGAGAGTACGTTATGAATCTGGGTCTTGTTGCCTGTCGATGCTGAGAATCCAATAAACATGTACTCATTCAGATAAGGAGAGAGATCAAGAGGACCAGAGAAGATAGGTTTAGACAGGTTATCATGGCCATCTGATCCGAGGTGGATGTCCATCCATCTACGAGGACCGTCATATGTAATCCAAGCTCGATGAACTGAACCATCGTTAAGGAACACCCCAAAATCTGATGCATCGATAGTTGTGGTGGAAACAATGCTACCAAGATTAATGCCAATATGATTGTCATTTGGGTCTCCAAATTCAGGATTCTGGCGCGTGTCAAATTCAATAGCAACGGCTTTGTAATCTTCCTGGCAAGCATCATTGAGCATACCTAGCCATGGTCCAGATCTTCCCACAGTGAACTCATCAGGGACTATGATAAATGTGAGACCACTGCCACCGTGATTAAGCATATCTGTGCTTGCGTAAGAAGAATTGCTAAATTGAAAAGCAAAGGTGGTTTGAAAGGATGCCGGGGTGCGGGTGTGTGGATCAAGCAGGCGGACAGGCGAGGAGTAAATGGCTCTCCCTGCTAGATGTCTCAGATCAAAGGCATCTGATTCATCTGGAATTTGGACGGCACCTTTTTCCATCGAAAGCTTCGCACTCCCTAGAAGCTTCACATCTGATGTTACTCTAGGATCATCAAGGCTGAAATGTGTGAAGGAGATGTGCTTGGTCACGTTAATTACAGGTCCACTTGTTGTAGCTGATGCATTAACGAGAACTGGGAACTGTATCAAAGCTAGAAGATAAAGTGACCATGACCGCCAAACAGAACAGTGCCAAAAACATGAAGCAGGGAACACAGATGAAGAACAATTTCTTTTGGCCATTTTGTTTAGCGGTGAATTCTTTTCAAAAGGGGTACGCAATTCTTCCAGGCTCGTCGATGGAGATAAGACTCTGCTAAGGAAAATTTCCAAGCCAGCTAGTTATCTTTTCTTTTTGGGAGGTGGGGGACTAAAAGATAAGCTCCAAGCAAGACGCAGTAATAACATATACGGACCAGGATATACAACCTCCTCCAATACCAGTCTAGCATTTCATTACAAAATATGAATAACTTATCGTTTGTCCCTTTCCGTTACCAAAAACACTCAACCCAAATGACTTGTTTAAGATGATTACAAATACCTGGAAAATGGATTATGTTGCCCTGCAACAATATTCTCAATTCACAAGTCCGACTTGGACCACGGACAACAACACAACATGCTTCATGTGCTTTAGATTTGCATTATTTCACGGTGGGGCACCTAGCTAATGATTTTGAGCCGATTAAATGTTTCTCAGTCACCCACTTTGGGCCCCCTTTCTCAATTATTGAGCTACTTGATTAAAGGCCACAACCTACCTGGTAATTTACTAACTAAATGCCAAGATATCTTATCTAGAAGGCTCACTAAAACAATAATTTTAGGGATGCAATTGTATGATTATTAGACATCACTATAAAACAAAAGCCTCAGGGTTTCAACTTTCAATACAGAAAAGAAAAATGAACTCATACGCCTCCTTTTTTTAAGTTAAAATTTGTATGTCAAACAAACAAGTCCTACTTCAATTTATGATATACGAAGTATCAACAGTAAGTCAAAGAACCCGAAGTATCAACAATAAGTCAAAGAATCCAAGGAAGAAAAGCAGATTATTGCTTGGAAAAACAGAAGCATTAATAAAAATGGCAGTCGATCATTCAGCTAAAACATTCGATACTCTTAAAATTCGTTTATGAAATGGCAGATTACAATAGAAAACCAATAGTTGGAACAAGGTGCTTTCATAGTCATAACATGGATATTTATTTCTCTGACCTTCCGTCGAGCCAAGACAAATATAATGCAAATGGGACCAAAAGATGAACAAGGGTCGGTGGTAAGTGTAGAACGGACAGACAATGCTTATTAGAGAGATATCAAGAAGAAGCATTGTAAAACACATGCTGTCCTACACATACCACTTCGGCCATGGACAAACCCGTCATCAATGTATTGATAAATTGATGTCATTAATATTTAGTATAAAAAATTTAAAATTTTTATGCAAGGATCTCAAGTGCATGCTTTCAATCATTCTGCAACAAAAATTAAGGCTCAATTTTAAAAGGTTGAAAAACATATATGTTAATTTGGCAGAAAGTAGCGATAAACATAGCTACATGAGCCTCTTTGATATTCATATTGCAATTAAAGGTCTTTATATATAAACCATGTTCCTCTCTTTTTTTAACATGATTTCCCCAGCTTTTCCAAATCGTTGCTGTCTTGGTGATATATGGTTTGATGCTAAAGACTATGGTTCGATACGTACTAAACTTACTGATACAAAGCCTTGTCGGCTTTTGCTTTGAAATTGGATTGTTTCAAATTCTTTTAAAAAAATAAATTTTAATCAAATATAAAAAAAATACATGAAATTAATTTACAAATAAATGACAATGAAAATAAAAAAACCAAGATAAAAAAAAAAAATCAAATATAAGAATTTATGGAGATATAGTTCTTTTCCAAAGATACTTACGTCTTTTCCTTTAACTATCCTAACTAAACACAATCCACTATTACATTATTATCTCAAATCTCACAAATAGCTTATCAAAGCTAAAAGTGCAATAAATCAAAAATCCTTAATGGTCTCACAAATATACTTAAGAATTTCACTCCCTTTGAACCCACAATATCAAATGTGATAAAGTGTTTTTGCAAACTAAATAATCTCACTAAGATTAGATGTTTACCTAATTAAGTATAAAAATGACAAATGAAGAATAAATATAAATTGGATGCACAAATGAAGCAGGTTGAGGTTGCTTTTTATTTGCCTTTTTCATTTTCTTAAAATGGTTTTCTAACTCTTTGTAGACATTTGAAATTCCAGTCTTATGTCGAATTATCATGTCAAGCATTGTTAATTTGTTTCAGTAAGGTACAAAATAAGAAGCAGTGAGGTCTGATGTTGCATTTTTGAAAGACATTTTCAAATGGTTACTTAGAGATTAAGCAATGAAATATTCCATTTTCTTTCATTTTAATTCTGTTGATTCTTTCTAACTTATAACTTTGTTTCTATTGAAGATAAAAGGTCGGTTGATTGCCGTGCATAAGGACTATTTTAGAGTGATTAATTATAGGGAATTGTTATTCAATGATTGTGGAGACCGGGTTGCGCAATTGTTACATGTTGAGTTGGCTACCCCTGATACTTGCCAAGAAATTCTCATTGTAAATACCCATTTGCTTTTACCTCACCATTCAAGTTCCTGCATAGTGCGTTGCAGGGGGTAAAAGCATCCTTCCTTTCATATCTAAGCAGAAATTATTCACTATTCTTTTTCTTATATTTTGATCCCTGTTGTATAATTATTTTGGTAGGTCTACAAAATCTTTTAGTAGGTGGAAACTTTATCAGGTGTACAATCTTAAATCCTTGCCAATTATGCTTTGCGGGTGAATATATCATTCATTTCTTTTAGTTTGGACCAAACAATGATATCTTACCCTTGTAGAGCAATACTAGATTGTTTTTTTTTTCTTGCTCATTTCCTACAGTGATGGAATGGGAGCAAACGAGCACGTTTACAAGTTCCTTAGGTCCAAGGGCTCTGTATCATCATATGATGCTGCTCATCAGTACACCGATGCAGATGCACGTAAGGTGAATATCTTTATGCTCCCAATAGGAGTCTAGCACCACATTACCTACTTAGGTTTCTGTGAAGCTCTTCGACAGGTATTGAACTTTCCTCAAATTGGGATCTCAAACTTATTTCTTTCCATTTTTGTTACCTTGTTGCTTGTTTGGAGAATATAACCAGCTAGTGCATTGTTCTGTCTTTCTACTGCTTAATATTACTGGTCATCCCCATGGACTAAGTGTTGAAGAGACAAGGGACTTGTGGGTCAAGCAGACATTGATGGAAACGGTGTTGTTGACCATAAAGAATTTCAGGTAACTCTTATGGAACTTAGTCTCGGGTATTGGCTCTTATTTGCAATGAACACTGTGGTGCTTCCTTAATCCTGGTAATAAAATCTGAGTTTTTTACAATTAGGTGGCATGCCAGTGGTCCAGGGTATTTGATCTTCAGAGTGTTCAATGAACCAAAATGGTTGCTTATATGTATGTTTCTGAGTATCTTTTATCGTATTCTCATTTCGGAGAGCTATGCATAAATAATGCACCCATTATTGAAAAACAAACACTGCTAGGTATAGCATAGTTTATCTCCTACTATTGGGTGGTTTTAGAAAGTGATTTAACTCAAATTGCGATGAATTCCATTAGGCAGATTATCATATATATATATTATAATGTTAATGCTGTGGAATAATGACTTTGCAGCAGCAAATCTGGAAAGCGACGTGGTTGGAGCAAAGAGATGAACACAGCAATTAAGGCCAAGATTGGGACCATAGGGTGGCTGAAGAATATAGGCTGGAGCAAGCTATCGGTTTTAGCGTACGTGAAGAACGCAGTCCTGTTTCCTACAGAAGTGGAAAAAGAAAGGTCACCGGAAAATTATTTTCTCTCCCACCACGCACGACTTACAGTGGTGTTCTCACCAATAAAAATGCCATGTTCCCAGTTAACATCTCGACAATTCTGAGATGTAACGAAACTTTGGACGGAAATTTTGAATGAGTTTGGATAAAAAATAGTGTTGATAATGAAATAAATTGTAAAAATAAAAAAATTATCAAGACGTATATTAAAGTTGTATATAATAAAAAATTAAATTATTTTATATTTATAAAATTAATAAATATTAAATTATTTTTAAATTAAATAATAAATTTGTTAATTAATAATTAAAATTTATTTATTAATTTATTATATAATAAATTTTATTTGAAATTAAGTTAATAAAATTATTTTATAATTTTTAAATAAAAATCAAAATAAATAAATGAAAAAATAGATGTAAAGTGCTAAAGTTATTAGCTTGCTGCAGGAGAGAAAAGGATACAAAAAAAAAAAAGCAATTGCTATGAGCAACAGCCACTGGACCCCCACCTCCACTGGAAAATCGGCATAAATCATCCTGCACCACTACTTTGTTTGGATTTAAAATTTATGGTTGGTACAACTTTTCATAGGAATTACACCTTTATACGGATGCACGTTTCAATCCAAACGCACCTTAAGACTTCATTTGAATCTCAAGGGAACTTTGTTTTGGTGAGATTAATCTCTTTTGTTATGCAATTGCACTTCCGTAATGCATTCGGATAAAATGATGGTGTGTTTGCACCTCGAAAATTGTCACTCGCATTCAAAATCTTCCCAGCGGGGTTCAGGGGTTTGATGGGATTTTTAATTCTCACCGCAGCCTTTTTTCTAAATATACCCTTTTTTTTTTTTGTTTGTGAGTTTTTTTCATTCTTTTATTTTTAAAATTTTATTTTGAATTAAATAATTATTATTTTCATATAAAATTAATTATTATAATCTAGATTATTATCAATTTATGTAATATTTTTTTAAAACATAGTTAATATACTACTATTTTTTATATTTTTAATTATTTATTAATAAAATTATTATTTGACATAAAAATAACTTAATATTCTTATAAATGCCAAATAATTTTAAAAAAAATTTTTATACAAAATTTAATCTAATGTTTTTAATAATTATTTTTTATTTTTACTAATACTAGATTTCAACTCATTATTACCATTGATTTTGTATCTAGAAACATATCAAACTATTAATTTTAATTTTACTATTATAGAAACTAATTTATTGTTATAATACTAATCTCACATTCATCATTATTTTTAATCTCATAAAAATTAATTTCATGATTCATCCAAATGGCCTTAAGAATTCATTATATTTAATGATTTAAGAAAATTATCTTAAACTCTACTATAAGCTTATGTTTGGATTGAGGTAGGGAGAGAAAAAGGAAAGGAATGGAAAGAAAACAAAAGAAAATGAGAAATTATTTTCCTTATTTGTATATGACATAAACAAAAATAAAGAAAATGAAGGAATGCTTAGCTTGTCATAGTTTCTTTTAACTTTTTTCATTTTTTAATTATCCCAAATTGGGGGAAAAGGAAGGGAAAGAAAAATAATAAAATTTTAAAATATAAAATAACTATTATATCTTTATTAATTTATCTAAATTAAAGTGTATGATTTTAAACTCTAAAATTAGATTGAGAAAATAAAAAATTATTTATCAATAAATTTATTGTCTTCAAATTTTTTCTCTTACTTTTATGAATTTCATAAATTTTATCGATAACCATTTTTATGAAAAAATAAAAAAAAAATTAAAAATATGAAATATGTTAACATAAATATGTAAATGTTATAGTCGAAACAAAAATTATAATAAAAAAAATAATATAATAAATAATTTTCTTTTCTTTACATTATTTAATTAAATAATGGTTGTTAAGATTTTTTTATTTTTTTATTAATTTTAATTATTCAAATAAAATATACATATATTATTTAAAAAAAAATTTTTTTTTACTTTATTATTATTATTATTTTATTAATCTTTTATTAATATTTATCATAACGTAAGAAAGAGATTAACATAACGTCTAATCCTTTTTGTTGTTTTCTTTTATGGAAAGTGATGATGAAGAATCCAATGTATACTTATGTTTTCTATGTGTTTTTTTTTTTCCCCTAAAAGCATAAATGAGAATTAATGACTAATGAGCTCTTATAATTCCTGTCTTTTCTCTTAAAAGTAAGGACAAAATGCTATTAAAAATCTAATACACCCTGACAATTGTTAAGGTTGTTAAACTTTATGGGATTCCTTAGCATCTTTTGTTTGGAAATGACTTTAAGGAAATGTACGTCCAATGAGAGACAATGGTGGAGACGGTTTTTCTTAGGTCTTCTTTATCATTATGGTTGAAACTAACTTTTGTATTCAAAAATTGATTTTGATCCAAATTTAATGTTAAATAATAAAATATTTTTTATTTTTTAATTTAAAATTTTTTTAAATCTAAATAAAAAACTTCTCAAAAAATGCTTTTATAATGAAAAAAATATATTTTTGAGATAAAAATTATTTTGTTATTTCTATGTTTTTATGAAAAACGAGGAATTTGTTAAATGAAAGATCTTCTTGTTGTTGATGCAAGTGGAATCATGAGACAGTAAAAGAGCTCACTTTGACCACCCAAATCTCTTGTCTTTTTCAAGGGCTTGTCTTCTTCCAATTTTCCACACACCTTTGTCGGTGTTCACACTTAACTGTGTTGGGTTTAAGTAACAAAACGCCAAAACCAAAAAAAAAAAAAAAAAAAAAAAGGCCTAGTTTTGTAATGGGAAATCAGATGTGGAATTGGGTAAAAGATCAGAAAAGTCATATACCACTGGTTCATGATGGTAACCTTTGGCATCTAAATTGTTTTCTTCTTTGTTCTTCAAAATAAGTTTAATAATGAATGCATTGTAATGAGACTTTAATTTAATGATAAAAACATTTTAAAATTTTAGATTTAAATTTTATTATATGTAATTTGTTTTAATTTTATATTAATTTTATTAAATTATATTTTAATTTATTACTTAATTATTAAATAATTTTTATATATTAATATAATATTTAATTATTATTATAATTTATGGTTATGTTTTTTTAAAAAATTAATAACTAATACATGACATATATTTTAATGATAATTAATAATATAGCTAATTGACATAAGACATGGCATTAAAAAAAGCGAAAAGAGGGAAAAATCGAAAAAACCCAACAGATAAGTGGAAGTGGTTGTAGACTTTGTGTTAAGGAGGTTATCGGGAGGGTTCACACTTCACAGCACTTTCGTACGTTGCTACGTAATCCATGTAGACCCCACGCTTTTGGGTGTGACGCCATTTCCACATGTCAAGATCTTATTCGCTGGATTACTCAATGCTCTTGGGAGAATCCGCCCTTGGATTTCGGAAAACTTACGCCGTTGGACACTAACAAAGAGGAAGAGTGGAAGGGAATCTACGCTCTTTGGGGTGGACGGCGGGCATAATGGTAAAAAAGCACAAGCAATACGCAGAATATCCGGGTCGAAACGCGGGTAAATGTCTGAAATTGAAATTGAGAAATAAAAAATAACGACTTTCTAAGCTCTTTCCTTCGTATAATTATTATATCCTTTGAAAGGCATAAGAAAAGCTATGGGCCATCTGCCATTCCCTTCGAACTCTTCACCGAGCTATGCCAAATACTGATTCCTTGTGAATCTCGTCTCCTTTTCCCTTTCTATAATTTTTTCTAAAAATCTCCCAAACAATCATTTTTTGGGTCAACAACATTTTATCATGGATGTTCTGTCACTGAATTCACTACCCATAGGATTCCGGTTCCAACCAACGGACGTGGAATTGATCAATTTTTACTTACGGTCAAAGATAAACGGGGACAGAAACGATGAGGTTGGAGTCATTCGTGAAATCGATGTTTGTAGATGTGAGCCATGGGATTTGCCTCATTTGTCCGCTATAAGGACTCGTGACCTGGAGTGGTTTTTCTTTTGCCCACTCGACCGGAAGTACCCCAACGGCAATAGACTCAACAGGGCTACCCAGCTTGGTTACTGGAAGGCTACGGGCACGGATCGCAAGATTAAGTCTGGGTCCAGCTTGATCGGCATGAAGAAAACTCTGGTGTTTTACTTCGGTCGGGCTCCTAGAGGAAAGCGAACCAATTGGATTATGCACGAGTACCGTACTACCCTCGATGAGCTTGACGGCACCAAACCCGGACAGGTTTCTCTTTTCTTTTTCTTACTTCTGTTCTGTTTAGTTATCCATGTTATTATGATCATGGAAAATGAGGCCAATTTGGTAATATGGGTGGTGGAAATTAGTTCACATCATGAATTCCTTGATATGGTTGATATTTTGATACAAGATTAGTTATGCGATTCCGTTTGCATTAAATCATGTTTTTAATTTGGTTGACGGTTCTGTTTTTGTACACAACTACTAGGGTTTATGCGTATATATGATCAGTGGGTCAATTGTGATAATGTGTTGAAGCAGTTGCTTGATTCACATGTATTGATTCTTCGATGATAGTTTTTCTTATTTTCGTTGTTTTTGTTTTCTCCTTTGTGCAGAATGCGTTTGTAATTTGTCGTCTATTCAAGAAACAAGATGAGAGAATTGAAGATATAAATGGTGATGAAGTTGATCCTGGTGTATCGTCTCCTACTGAAGACATGCAGTCTGAGATAAGAGTGCCTCAAGACTCTCCTGTGGTGGAAGGGATAGCTGAAAAAATTCCCATTAGCAATGAAACTTGTCCTGTAGTTTTGCCCAATGAAGTGATTTCTAACGCTGTTGCACCTATATCAGACTGCAACAACAATGACTTTGAAGCTTATGGTGTAACAGCTCAAATGGTAGAAATAGCACCTACAGAGGTGAGAAATGAAACTGAATTTGGATTTGGATTTGGATTTAGACTTAGATTTTGCAATCATTGCTGTAGTGCTTATGTTGTTCAATTTCAGGTGGATCCACTTGGATATGCTTTGAATCATTTTTGTGATCCCATGGTCATGCCACTGGACTGCAAACTCTTTTCTCTGTTGCACTCTCCGATTGAAGCAGAGCAAGCACCTCGGATGTTTGATCATGTTGGGAAGAGTTTCAGTCGGGTGGAGTTAGAGCATGACACAAATGAAAATGATACCTATATTTCCGACTTCTTGAATTCTATCCTAAAAAATTCCGATGACAACGACAGTGATGACTCTGGCAGTCAGAAGAATTCATCTATCGAAAGTGATACCCCTAAGGCCATGGCCTTTGGTAAGGATGGTGGATCATGCACTGAATCAGATGCGGAAGTGGTGCAAGTATTGGTGAGTAGAAGCCAGCTAGTTAGTTATTGTTTATCCTGTATTTGTACTAGTTTTCCCATTGAACATCATAGTGTTTCAAGATTCATTCAAATGTTATGGCTCATAGTGCTCTTATGAATTCTGATCATGCGAATGATATGCATAATTTCATATTTGCATCTTCAGGCATTAGGAACATTTTTGCATTAAGAATAACCTTTTCTTTTTTTTTTTTCTAAAAACAATAATTCTCCTTTGGAACAGCCTCAGACCATAACTGCCAATAAAGGGGCTCCTCTAGAGAATAAAGCAACAGCACAAGATTGCACCATTCCAATTCACAAGCAGAACGTTAACTTTTCTGGCACCGGGCCAGCCTATAATGTGCTAAATAGTAATGGAGAATTGAGCAATAATGCGAATACAACTTGTAATGTCGATAATGCTATCACTGGAATCAGGATTATGTCTCCCCCTGCTCGAAGTCCACTAGACACTGAGAACTCTATGACACAGGGTAATGCGCCAAGAAGAATACGTCTGCAGCGTAAGCTTCAAGTTGGCCCACTTCACAGTGGCAATGCAACAAATAACTGGAGTAGTGAAGAGAAAGAAGATGATCCAAAACCAGTTGTTACAAAGGTGAGAAGTTTGTAACTGATAATAATATAGAACCACTGCCAAATCCAGATATGTTTGGACCTTAATAAGTTGTCTTTGCAGGAGGTAAAAGTCATGGAAGAGAATATCATTGTCGGTGATGCTGTTGCTTGTGGCACCATGGACGAACCCCTTTCTGAGTCAAGCAAAAACAATGTTTTGAGGTCAAAGAGCACTGTTTCAGTTTGTGAAGAGGTTCCATCTCGATGCTCGAAGAAGTTTTCAGCTGGTCGCTTGCACAAGCAGTTTGCTGTTATGTTTTGGGTAGCTGTAATGTTAATCTTGTTTATAGTTTTGTTTCACACATTGAATGTCTTGTAATTTGATGCTGCTTATTTGGTTGCGTATATTAGACTCGTCTCATATAAGGCTCTGTACTAGTTAGGACTGCGGCAATGATTTTGAGTACTAACATTTATGTATATGATCTATTTAGTTAGTGATACAGAGCATCTGTTTATGCAGTATATATAACTGCTTTTCTCTCTGGTTTTTGCATGTTGCTTCACGAAAGCTTTGCCATTGGGGCATACTGATAAGCGATTACCATTCCGTTTCTCTACAAGGGTTTGGCCTTAGTCTGGTTTCATTCTTATTATTTTGTTCAGCTTGAGCCTATTGTTATTCCTTGTGATAATGTCACTAAGGCTCTATTTGGTAACCCAGTGTGAGTGCGGGAGTGCTCCTGCTGCATGGAGCCCAATTGTAAAACGTACTTTCGGATGCGGTGGAGCATTTTCATTGGGCTCCCAAATGGCGCCTTAGAAGAAGAGTGAGGGTCTCGTGTTGAGATTATGAAAACTAGAAGTACCCTAAGTTTTAAATATGAGCTGTCGGAAGTAGGACCAATAATTTTAGTCTGAAGAGCTCTTTAACAAAATCTGCTAAGCATGGACCAGAACGTTTTAATTAATCTCAATGGTCCAAAGTAGAATGGCGAGTACGACCTTCAGGAGGAACTTCTCCAACGTGTATTTTTTTAAAGTGAAATTATCAAAAATTGAATTATAATTATCAAAATTAAAAATTCAACACTTTATCAACCCTACAAATAGAACAGATATTGACCCAACATATACAATTTACACCCAATTACCACTGCAGTTTCCATGTAAAGGCCCCAAAAAAGGCTTTAAAGCCAACGTTGGAGAAAATGCAGTGCTGGTGCTGGATCACTCGTATCAGCTATAAAATCTTTACGATGGGGTGAGAGAGGCTCGAACTCTCGACCTCAGGATAACTCTTAAAGCTATGAGACCTACGCGCTAGCCAACTGCGCCACCACCCCTTGGTGAACTCTCGAGCGAAAAACAAACAACTCGACGGAGATTGTTTCAGGTGGCTTCTCTCCTTCCCTTCAAAGCGCGGAAACAACCTTTTTTTTTTTTGGTTTTCTGTTTTTCAGAAATGAATGACTGTTTGTAGAAAGTCGACAGTCAGACAACTTAGATGGGTCAAACAGCTTTCGTCCCACATGTTTTGGTCTCTGTGCTTTTCTGCCTTACCTACCCGTCGGCTATACACTTTAGACATGACCGTGATTACAGAGATCAACTCTTAAGTTCAGCACAGCAAGACAAAGACTGGTTGGTTTCAATCAGGAGGCAAATCCATGAAAATCCGGAACTCCGCTTCCAAGAACACAACACTAGTTCTCTTATCCGCAAACAACTTGATCAACTTGGCATCCCTTACTCAGGCCCGGTTGCCGAAACCGGCATTGTCGCCCAAATTCGCTTTGGGTCTAAACCCGTTGTTGCTCTTCGGGCTGACATGGGCGCTCTTCCCATTCAGGTGATCCTACCGTAAGTAATCCTTTTCTTCTTTTTACCATATTTAGGTGATCATCACAACTGTTTTGTTTTGTTTACCATGATTATTTCTATAGGAGCTTGTGGAATGGAAGCATAAGAGCAAAATAGATGGAAAAATGCACGCATGTGGGCACGATGCTCACACCACCATGCTTCTTGGAGCTGCCAAGTTGCTTAATCAACGCTAAGATAGGCTTAAGGTTAGCTTTGATTTGAAATCTTCATCGCTGTTTTGTTATATTCTCGACTGATTGGATGTGTAGTTGACTTAGCTATGTTTTCTCAAGATTACAAAGGAAAGCCTTGAAGAAGGGCAATTACGTACCACCATGGAAGAATGAACCACTTACTGACTGAAGTTAGGTTTTAAATGATTAATGATACTTGGCCAGGTTGTAAATCACCTCAGGCTAGAGGTAAGGCAGGGTAGACTAATTTGTTTGTTTCTCCTGATCTGCAAAAGGGGAATTCCAATCCATGTGCTCAAGATGGCAAATACTAGGTCATTCATTATTACAAGCTTTTCTTCCTATTATCCTTAACAGTTTCTACTTGTTTATATTATACCGTACAAGTTTCATTTTAATACAATTCCATGTTATACAGGTTCCATTTGAGAAATATGGTTTAACTAGAGACTTACAAGAGGAAAAAAGTTATAAGTAGTCAATTTTCTTACAACATCATACCGTACTAGTTGACTCGTACTTATTATTGATTTTCATCCCTTCCCATGAAAACACATGTACATATATATACATATATGACATATAAGAGCTGTGTCCATCAGATAAAGTTCTATATGTATTTGAAGAAATGGCCCATCTTAAATGCTGCAGGACTGCTAATGAAAAATTCATCTAAAAAAATTGAATAGATTTGTTGTAAGAATCATGCACGCTTATCACATTTGTCTTTGTTTAACATTTCAAATCCATTTGCTTATGTAACTATTAGTGTTTAAAGTTCACAATACTTATTCAATTTCAAGTTTTCCGTTATATGCCACTGAAGGGAACTGTCAGACTACTTTTCCAACCTGCAGAGGAGGGAGGTGCAGGTGCATCTCGCATGATAAAGGAAGGAGCTCTAGGTGATGCTGAAGCAATATTTGGAATGCACATCATTTATGAAAAACCCACAGGAAGTGTAGCGCTGGTTCCAGGGCCGCTGTTAGCTGCTACATGCGTCTTTGAAGCCAAAATAGAAGGAGTCGGCGGGCATCCTGCAGTGCCTCATTCTACTGTAGATCCAATACTTGCTGCATCCTTTGCAATTTTGGCATTGCAACAGCTAACCGCTAGAGAAGCTGATCCTCTCTATAGTCAAGAATATTCCCATTTTCTTTCCTGGATATCCATTGTCAAGTTTGTTTGTGACTTATAGTGACTTATAGTAACTTATAGAGGAATGGTCCATGCCTATTCTTTGATAAATTTGACATCTATCATTTATTTCGATATACAACAATGATACCTATGTAGTGGCTAAAAAACATAGAGCATCCAATGCAACCTAATGCTGATGCTTTTTTTTTTTCGCCTTCTGTAAGGTGTTGTCCATTACTTTTATCAGAGATGGATCTGCATTCAACGTGATTCTGCCATATGTTGAATTTGGGGGCACTTTGAGGAGTCTCACCACTTAAGGCTTGCATAAACTCCAACAGAGGTTGAAAGAGGTACACAGACTTATTTAGTCTTTTTACCTTTTGGTTTTAGTGATTGATACCGTGATGGTTCATCATGATTTTCCAGTTGAGATTAAGAAAACTCCTCGTATGTCCTCTGTCCTTAGCTTTTCCTACCCTTTGAGGCAACTTTCTTACTAACATAATGCATATATCTTATTTCATTATGGAGTGGACAGATTCTTGTAACCCTCGTGGTTTATTTTCTTTTCTTCCTTCTTTGCTGAGATGATATTCCCATAAATAAAATATCTTATATTGAGAGTACAAGCTCCTTGTTCCTCTGTTTCAAGTCAATTATTTCTTGTCTATTAAGATTAATCCCTGTTTATTTAAAAAAAAAAAAAAGAAAGAAAGAAAAGATTACTCCTGGTTGGTCTGATGTATTGGTGATCTCGGCTCTGGGAATTATTTATTTTATGTTGTTTGTTACTTTAGTTTTTCTCTATACTGTCTGTGCTTCAGGTTATGTTATATTGATCAACTTAATTTTTTAAGATCTTCGCTGTCTGTCAATTGGTTTGCTCTTAAGAACGCTCTTAAGAACCGAGTGAAAGATGTTCCCTTTTTTTTTTCAGCCTAGGCATGATTATGTAATCGTAACTTGTTGTAGGTCATAAAAGGACAAGCAGCCATACATAGATGAAATGCTTCAATTGACATGACAGAAGAAGAGTACCCGCCGTATCCTGCCATTGTAAATGATGATGTCTTGCATCAACATGTTCAGAAGGCTGGTAGCCTTTTGCTTGGTCCTGAGAATGTCAAGAGGGGGCAACAAAGGTATCGAAGGAGAGGACTTTGCCTTCTATCAAGAATTAATCCCTGGATTCATGCTAGGCATTGGAATAAGAAATGAGGAAGTTGGCTCAATTCATCCACTACACTCCCCTTATTTCTGTATTGACGAGGATGTCCTTCCAATTGGGGCAGCCTTAAATACTGCTCTTGCAGAACTATACCTGAATATTGAGCACAAACATTCCATTTTACATCAAACATTTTAAGTGCTCCAAAAGTAATGATAAATTCTTTTGTGCTGACACACTCAAAATTGAAAAATAAAAAATTTTTAAAGAAAAATTTTCACCGCACTTTTAAGTTTTATTTTTTGGATATTTTCAAAATTTTAAGTGATGAAGTTAATAAAGAGTGATTTAAGAAATAAATTTTTTATTCTTGTTGAATGATTGTTTAGTGAGAGAATGTATTTGATAGCATTAATAATGGTGCAATTGTCTTTTTCTTTTTAATATAAGAATTCGTTGTAAACAATTGAAATAATATAATAATATATTATTTAAAAATTTTGTTTATAATTTTTTATTATAAATAAACACTTTCAAAAAAAAAATTATGGATTCGTCACTAAATACATTTACTAACGGTTTTAGTTTCAAGCCCTCTCCATTATTTTGATCATAATGGTTGTCGCTGCTATGGCACAAATTTAGAACTAATTTGATTACAAACAAATGAATAGCCAGCCACAGCATCTTCTCTCGAACCGCCTCCCTAATCCCCAACCCTCGAATGAATCCATGAATTGCATTGCAGAATGGTCAGCATAAGGCTAACAATCGTATGCTATGTACAAAATATATCAAGATAGTTCAGAAACACATAAATCAGTCAGCCAGGCAGCTTGTAAGAAAATCACTACTTTGCAGAGTGGAATGAGAGAGCAAAAGCAAAAGCACGTGAAAGTGGGGGCAACTTGTGGCCCCTGATGTAGCCAATATATTCAAAATTCAACCCCAAGAAAAGGGAAAAAAAGAACCTTTTCTTATCAATGCATGTATTACAGATTTGATGGTCCAAGTTCATTCTGTAAGACCCCATTTCATATATGGGTCCACCGATTCTGATCTTATTCTTTTGTTTTTTTGTTTGTGTTAAGAGATCAGGAGAGTGGCATCCATGTTTATGATGAAGATGATTAGCCGATCACAGGATTCGGTAGCAGCAGGTAGTGAAGCATTAATAATGTCAAATAACTCATCATGTGCTTCTTTTAACCATTTATGTGATCCCCATTGATTCTCCCACACACAATTTTATGAAATTTAAAAAATAAATTTTCATTCATTTTATTTTTTAGATTTGACGACCTAACGTTTGTTATTTCTCTTTATTATATCTTTCTTACATGTAACAAATTTTTTTATTTTCCCATTTATTTTTTTTTAATATTCTTCAAAGAGCTAATCACGCCATTAATTACTCCCTCCTTTTCTTTCTTTAGAAAAAAAAAAAAATTCACATTGCTACGAAACAAGCGATTTCGTAATTCATATTATTGGGTTTTCCTTTCAAAAATTACATATTATAAAAAAGAATAATGATTTAATTATTAAAAAAAAAGTGCTAATGCAATTATGAAGATGGGGTATATTGGATTAGAATTTGGAAGCATATGGATTTGGAAAAGAAAGTAATGGGTGGTTGAGAATGATTGCTTTATTATTAATCAATCATTCAGATTCTACTAACCGCCCATGATAACTTTAGTTGTGGCAACAAACACTCCCTTAATCAACACATCCAAAGTTCAAATTATACTCAATTACTATTATTTCCCATTTTTTTAAGGGAAAAAGAATTTCAATGGGGTCAACCTCGATTCTCTAGCGGTTGCCTTCTTTTCAAAATCTAGACAATATTTTTCTTTCTTTTTTTTTTTAAATTTTCATTAGTTCAACATTGCATCTGTCACAAGATATGTCGTTTGGTGGAATGGTTTTGCCTTAGAAAGCTATCAATTCTCGAATTTTACTGGTTTTTGCTGTCCCAATATTGGTGAGTCATTCCCACGTGTAACCACAAAAGTAAATTGGGCCTTCACTTTCTACATTGGTGAAAACCCAATCCTTCCTTTCGGTCCAAAAGTTAATTTCTCAATCAAAATTTGGAAGACCAAACCAAAATGTATACTTAGGAATGGCGAGCTAACCCGTCCCGATGGATTTCGACCCGACTCGATCTCACGGGATCAATTTTTTTTTTTGAAATTCGAATTTCGAGGTCGGGTAAAATAAGGAAACATTCAGGGTCAGGTTTACTTAAAATTCGATTCGATCCGACTTGATATTATATAAAAAATTATTTTTTAATTAATTATTTAATTTTTTATTATATATATTTATATAATGATATTTTTAAATATTTATATTTAAAAAAATAATATTTTATATTTAAAAAATAATATTTTATTAATTTCGGGTCGAGTCGGATCGGATACGATTTATATGGTATCAGGGTCGAGTCGGGTTTGGATATGAAAAATCAAAAAAATTTTCGAGTAGAATCGAGTTCGAGTTTAATAAAATATTAAATCGGGTCGGGTTTGGGGCGAGCAAAACCCGCCCCGAACCCGACCCGATGCCAATCCTATGTATACTAGATCAATCACCCCTTTGTAGGTAAAGTTTGGTAATTAGGTGATGAAAAATGTATAATGGGAAAAAACAAAGTTTCTTCATTGGGGCTGCCATGGAAGCGAACAAGTAAATGGAAAAAAAAAGGTAGCTTGAGTTATAAGAGCCTTTTCAAAACCTAAAAAGGAAGCAAAGGAAATAAATTGGAAGAAAAAAAAAAAAAAAAGGAAGATGAGGCTTTGCAATTTCAAGGTCAGCATCCCATGTGATTTCAACTTCCTAATACATACATCTTTACACGCAAAAACTTAATACATTTAACGGATCCCCACGTTTCATCCATCCCAATTTTTTCATTCTTTTTTTCTCCAAAATAGTAAATGCTTTTCTTTATTGATTCACTTGTGAGCAAAAGTATAAAACAATGCATCACTTCAAAAAAAAAAAAAAAAACCAAAGTTTTTATTTCAAACTTACAAGGGATATATTATGAAATAACAATGTAATAAAACTTGAGGATTAATTCAATTCATACAATTACTTTTAAAATTTTAATTTTAATATATACAAAATTTTAATTTATTTTTAAATTACGAATTTTTTTTTATATAAAAAAAAAAAAAAGAAACATGGAGCATCCAAGTTAAGGCAAATTATATGACAAATTTATTTAAGCAGTTAAAACGTCGACACTAAAGCAAAAATGGTGGACATTGTCCATGTGTAGCCATCCAACCTAAAGCTAGCTAACATTTAAGTAGCGCTTTCATGAGCAGCTAGCAGGCTATATGGATCATCCAACAAAAACTAATGCCAGCTCCTAACGTACCAAATACATGAAGATATAGTCAATTATATGACCATAAAATCTAGGGGCATTTTTCCTTGGTTGTTGGAAGACAAGAGAAAATCAGGCTTCAGACCTCATTTTGTAGGCAAGCAAGCAAGTTTGGAAGACTTGGGTATATATATAATCAAGGAAATCATATCCTCGTACTAATTTAATTTAATAATATTTATCTAATTGATAATAGTATTAATTGATTTTCGTTAAATTAATTGACGTGATCATTAACTATATTGATGTGGCATTAACTTTAATGATGAGATATTAACTTGTTAACATGTCAATTGAGATTGATGAAATTAATTATTAAATTATACAAATGATCACAATATTTATACAAAATTTGAAATTTAATTCCTGTACTCACACAAAATTTAAAATTCAATTCTTTTAATACAAAAAATATTTTGAATTTTTAGAAATTTTTTAGTTTTTTAAAACTAAATTTTAAAAATTGATATAATATTTTCTCATAATATTCTGCTACAATATTGAAAAAACTATTATAATATTTAGTCACAATTTTCATATATTGTCACTAAATCTGTCATAATTTTTTGTCACTCATATGAAATACTATTACTAGTTTTGTCATTATTTCTTGTTATATTTTGTCATAAAATATAAATCTGTTATTAATTTTATCACATTTTTCTGTCACAATTATAGTATATTATGGTCATATAAAAGAAAATTTTAAACCTATCTATTAAAAATCAATCACAAATTTGTTACTATAAGATACAAATTTGTCACTATCTAACTTTATAAAACTATTATTTTTTATTAATTTATCTAATAAATTAGAATTATAATTACTTCTCATAAGAGTAAAATTATCCATAAAACAATGTTTCTATTCTTTTAAATTGAACCCTATTTAAATAATTTTTTTTATAATCAAATGTAGTTCAAGATTTTAAATACATTAAAGTAATTTACTAAATTAATTTAATGTGTATTGGTTTTAAAATTAATCTTATTATTTAGTTTAACATAATTACTTAAATAAAATTTTTTTTTGTGAAGACCCAAAAAATTGAAGGTTCTTATTATGATACACGATATTAATGTTTTGGTTTATCAAATAAATTATTTTCTTTTTTCGATTTATTAGGATTCAAAATTTGTTCTTCAATTGGAGCTCATCCTTCTATCAAATAAATCATTTTATTTTGTTTGGTTGGATGAAATGATAATTTCATTCATTGTCTATTTCAGATTCATTATAAATACAACTATATTCAATGGTTTGGTTCATTATAAATTTTGTTATATTATATATTTATATTAATTAAAATAATATTACTTTGATATATTAATTTAAATTACTAATATTATAATAGATTAATATAAATGATAATAATATTATTAATATGATATTATTAATAATTAATTATATATAATAAAAACTAATATATTAAAGGAACTAAAATATTTTTAAAATTTATTATTTTTAAAAAATTTAAAAATTCAAAAAAATAAAAATATTTTTTATTAAAGAGATTAAATTTCAAATTTCGTATGAGTATAGAGTCTATTTGTATAATTTAACAATTGATTTCATCATTCCGAATTGACACGTCAACAAGTCAATGACATGTCAGCATGATAAATGCCATGTCAGCATGATCAACACCATGTTGGCATGGCCTATATTGGTTTAGCTAAATTGGGTTTCTGTTCTGTTCTAGCTGCAGCGACTAGTTCTCCTTCTTGGTGACCTTTTTTTTGGGTGGCATATTGTTGCGAGCATTGCTGAAAATAATTTCTCCTACCTAGTGTGTTAAATGTTTATACCTAGCTGTCTCATAAAGATAAAATCCTGAAATTAGAAAAGAAAAAAGAGAACGGTTAAAGATAAAGGTTAGGAGTGGTCTCAACGTATGTATTCCGACACTTAAATCAAAAATCAATCAAAGAAGTATATAAGAAAGAGAATATGGAAAAGTATAGAAAAACAAAATGAATCAAATGGTATATGGTATATGGATGATGCTATTTATATCTATACTATAGGAGGTTTTGAGCAATCTAGGTTGCCCAAGATCAATCTCAGGGTTAAAGATGACTTAATAGATAGAGTTAAGTTGAACATTGACTATCCAATTAAAAAATGACAAGTCAACATTTAAGGGTCTAATAAGTAAACTAATGAGATGATCAAACTGACATGATACCGTGAAATTATATATGTTATTTTGATACGTCAATTTGATCAAAAAATAAAAAAAATGTCCTAACTATATATTGACTGCCTCTGATAAGGAGAAATGACTATTCTACCCTTTGGATAAAAAAAGCCCCTGACACCTTTCACCACCAGACCAGGGCAGTCACCCCAACAACTTCCATTTGAGCTTCCCCAATCTTCTGTATAAATCTGCCAACTCTGCTCCACTGACTTCCTCCCCATTCTTTTTCTCCCTCTTCAGCCTTGGAGATTGGAAAGATTTCCTAAAGAAATATATTAAACTAAGAGGTTCTTTGTATACTAAGTGGCACTACATGTGCTAGCTATGGAATCGCATATAGTTTGCCTTTTATATGCTATTAACCCCACCGTCCATCCGATTACCAATACCATCTCTCTCTCTTCTATATAAAAACTACTCTACTTCCCCTTAGTAAATAGCAATATTCCTCTCCCTTTTTCTTCTTCGCCTGATTAGCCTTAGTTAAGTTAATTCACTAGAAGAAATGGGTGAGGAAGCTAAGCAGGTGAGGGCCATTGTTAAAAAAAAAAAAGGAAAAACAATTTGCATGCAATATTGATTCTTTTCAGTAACTTAGGTTTGCATTTGTTGTGATATTTGGCAGGAACAACCCCCAGCAGAGGAGAAGAAAGAAGATAAAACAGAAGAGAAAAAGGAAGAGAAGACAGAAAAGAAGCCAGCAGAAGAAAAGAAAGAGGAACCGCCACCGCCATCTCCTCCTTTCGTCTTGTTTGTGGACTTGCATTGTGCTGGATGTGCAAAGAAAATTGAGAAATCCATTATGAAGGCTAGAGGTAATTATTCATCCATATTAATTTCCATACTCTATCTCTCTGTCTCTCATTTAGTTGGTATTAATCCTTTTTAATTATCCAAATGGTTGTTCGACGCTAGCAGGTGTGGAAGAAGTTGCGATAGATATGCCTCAAAACCAAGTGACTATAAAGGGAATAATCGAACCCAAAGCAATATGTGCTAAAATCATGAAGAGAACCAAGAGAAGAGCTAAAGTACTGTCTCCCTTGCCTGCAGCTGAGGGTGAACCTATGCCGGATATTGTCACTTCACAGGTCTCATTCAGCACCTTACAACAAATTACAACATAATAATTAAAAAAAAAATTGATTCATAGAAGTATTAACTAACGGTATTTTTTGGGTTAATTATTCCAGGTCAGTGGGCTAACAACCGTGGAGCTGAACGTAGACATGCATTGCCAAGCCTGTGCTGAGCAACTCAAGAGAAAGATACTAAAAATGAGAGGTTGGTTAAGCTGTTACACAATTTGGGTAACGTAATAATATTAATTTATTCAGTGAATCTGTGGCATAGTAGTAGGCCACTTAGCCAGCAAGAAGCAAGACGATAATTGTGAGTGTGATTGACCAACTGCTTGACAAAATAGAAAGGATTAAGGTTGCGTTTGTTTCCTAAAAAATAATTTTTTTATTTTTAAGTGTTTATTTGATAAAAAAAATTGATAGATCAATAGAAAATCATATATTGGTCAATGAAAAATAAAACTATTTTTTTGAAAATTGTTTTCCCTTTTTAATATGTTTGAGCATAATTTTATTCAGTTAGAACTTGTACATAATCTTTTTAAACTTAAACTTAATTTGACCCGACTTAAAATATTATTATATTAATAAATAATATTTTTATTTAATTTTATTTAAAAATATTAAAAGTCTTTTAATATTTTAAGTTTGAATATTTTTATAATTTTACTCAAGTAAAATTTTAAACATAATATATTAAGTGCGAACTTGATTTGATTCAATTAAAAATATTATTATATTAATAAAAATATTTTATTTAATTTTAATTAAAAAATAAAATATTAACATTAAAAATCTTTTGGTATTTCAATTTTAAATATTTTTATTTTGTATATTATTAAACATAATTATTTTTAATATTTCAATAATAAATAGTATTATATTATTATTTTAATAATAAATAATAAGATATAATAATACTTTATTATTTTAATAATTAAATTAAAAATATAATAATATTATTTTCTTAATATGAATATTTTAAATAATTTCTTTCTTTTTAGTTTAAAATATATAATTTTATATTTATTTATTAAGGTATTTATATTAGTATTATAATAAATATAAATAACAATATTTTTATTATAATTCAATAAACAATTTTTAATATTTTAATAATTAAATAAATATTATTTTAAAAAATAAAAAAATTTCAAAAAATAACCAAATAACAAAAAATTATTTTTAATTAACTCATCTAAATAACAAAAACTCTACTTTTTTTAAAAAATATAAATATTTTCCATAAAATAATTTTTAAAAATTAATTTCTATGAACAAATTGAGTCTAAAATAAGTAGACAATGAAAAGGAATCCATATATAAGCCGACATTGGCGGTGGGGTCTTTCGAACTTGGCAAGCCACTATTTTTGCATGCTTTTGGACATTAATTCATATTACTCTAATCTATAATATTTACAATTATAATAAAATTACTTAGAAATGTGATAGCTAAATATTTGATTGAATTTATTGATTTATATAGTTATTTTAAAAAATAATTTAAAATTTAAATTATAACACTTATAATTTATTTTTTTTCTGATGATGTTACAATTTTCTTGTACCCAAAAAATTATTTGATTTAGTAATTTGTGTATAAAAATTAAAAATAGAGTTTGAATAGGAGATGTGGTATTTTACAAGGGAAATTGATGGAAAATCTACTAGGGCTAAGTTATTGGTATTTTCATAGGAATTCTTTGGGGAATAATTTTACTGATTTTTTTATGTTTATTGTGCTTGTTACCGCAGGCGTACAAAGTGCGGTCACCGACCACAGCACGGGGAAAGTTACAGTCACGGGTACCATGGATACAAACAAGCTAGTGGATTATGTGTATAGACGCACAAAAAAGCAGGCCAGGATTGTGTCCCAGCCGGAGACCGAGCCTCAACCTGAACCCGAGAAACCGGAGGAGAAAAAAGAGGGCGAAGAGAAGCCAGCGGAAAAAGCCAAACCTGAAGAAAACGCAAAGAAAAAAGAAGAAGAAAAGCCAACCGAAGAAGCTAACAACGAAGCCGAAAACAAAGAAGGGAAGGAAGAGAAGAAAGAAGGAGCAGAAGACAATGAAGAGGAATCAATGCAGAGAATGATCTACTACTACCAGCCTCTCTACGTTATCGAGCGAATGCCGCCTCCTCCTCAGCTCTTCAGCGATGAAAATCCCAACGCTTGTTGCATTTCCTAGTCATGATCGATACTATCAGATCATTTCATGAAGAGAAAGTTTTTACTAGAGCTTATAGTTTTTTTAAATTAATTAGTTTACTTTTACTATATTGTGGAGTACTAGTATATAGTCGTATTATATATAAGTAATGTTCGGTCCGTAACACTGATGATGAGAATTTCAGAGAAATCTGGTGGGCGGTTCACATCAATCAGGGGGGAGTGGGATCATTGTATAACTGAGTTGATTTATAATACGATCATTCTGTTTTATTAAAATGTATTATAGTTTATGTTGAGTTAAGTATAATATATACATACATGATCTTTTTCTGTACATGTTGATGCATGTAACTTGTGATATGGTGGTTGAAGAGCTCATTAGAAGCCGAAAAAGAAAGTCAGGAGAACCGGAATGATGTTTCGAGACACGTTTCGACACTCAAATTTGCAAGAAATAAGAGAGAAAAAGTGAAGGAGAAAGGTCATGGTTAGGGAAGAAAGAGAGAGTAGAGTACTGAATGTATTACATGCTTAGTCTGCTTTTATTTTTTTATACCTTGTAATGATGGCGTGATTGGTTGAATTATCAAGTGCTAAGCTTACTCAGGTGGCAATGAAAGTTGTTGTTGACGTGAACTATATGTTAGCTTGTAGAAATTAATTTCAGTTTCATGATCTTTTATGTTATGAAATTAATGGGCAAGTCGTGTTAGTGTTAATGCCCGTTTAACATGTGGTCTTTAGGTCTGTTCATGCCTTTTGAAAGGCTTAATATAAGATTATCAGATGGTTAAAGAAACACTATCCATATACATATTTATCTTTTCTGATGAAATCGGTGCAAAACTTTGATTTCTCACTATATGATGAAACACATTTGCAACTGCTTGCCTTTGGGTTTCATCAGGTCGACATCTTATCCGACGCAAAAGAAAGAAAGCAACAGCATCAGTTTCTGAAATGATTCGCAAGAGCAATTGGTACTGCCGGAATATAATAGCCTCGAGACAGACTGAGAATGAGAGGCATTTATGTGGGATAAAAAGACCATTGGAAAATTCCAAACCTTTCGTGGATGTCACATGCTAAAAGGATAGGATAAAATCATAAAACTGATAAAAGGATAAAAATGATAGGTTTAAGATTCTCTGACGAAATCAGAGGTGTGGGTTTCACATGGTAGTAGGTCCCCTCTCTCTCTCTCTCTCTCCCTGTGCATACGATATCTGATTCATCCTAATAAGGCCAACAGAGACACTCGAATCTCACACCCATTTTTACCTTTCTAACGTGGCACTTGAAATCTTTCTCTCTGTATGGTCGGTGTGTTTGGGCTTCATAATTGGGATTTTAATATGACGATCTTTTTGTTTTTTTTTTTTTTTCTTTCATATTGAAAAAGTAACAAAAATGGAACGCGTTAAGCTTTATATTATCCTGACGTCGAATTATTTTTCGACAGGATTCCCCTACAGTATCGTCACTGAGAGTTTAACCACAAAGTTCAGATTGCCGTCCCACCAGGCTCCTGTTTTTTTGACTCTCAACCCATCAATTTAAATCGGGCTATGCTTTCGCTTCCCTTCCCTACTGCATGAGGTGAACATTCCAACTACCAAAGACATAGTGAGGCCACAACTTTCTCAACAAAAATAAAATTTCTCATCCAAATTAAATTTCATTTAACCTTTCAAAGTATAGACTTTTTGAAGTTAAAGGGAGACTATAGATGAGTTGATAGATAAAGTAAAAGTATCATTAATTACCTTTTCAAGTATAGGTGGAAATGAAAGGTTGTCGATCTAAATTGAAGATTAAAAAGTTGAACAAGCCTTGCACCAGTTATCAACTTATTGGAAAGTAAAGTTTAGAGCTCAGAGCAGCTTTGTTGACTACCGTGACTGTAAATAGAGTGTCCAACTGCTTTTATTGACTAACTACTGAAGACTCCGATATATAGTGCTCTTTTTTTCTGGTTAATTTTCCTATCTAACACTTGAAATGGGCGATGTTAATCTTGCAAATCATTCAATAGTATATAGCAAATCTCACATTATCATCAATAGTCATATGATTTGACAGAGATGTTTTGTTTTTAGTTTTAATAATCAGGATTCAATCTTTAACTACTTTAAAGTAAATAATAAAAAAAAAAACTCACATTATTATCTTTGATCAATTGATGCCATATTGGTTTTGAGGTTTACAACTTCAAATAAATTTGTTAAGTTGCAGTGAGAAGTTTCGAATGTGATCCCTAGCGATTGATTTTAATCAAGAAAGAAATGAATTTATATATATTAGTGAAGTTAACGTACCAAGGGGAACTAAAACCTTCGTGTTTATGCCAGACATGATATTTGATGAAGAAGAGAATATCAATGATCAAACTAAAAATTAGGGGACGGTAGTCAGACAGATAACCTGCAAAGGCAGTTAAGCAAAAGTATATGCATGCATGTGCATGGCGGCTTCCCCGACGACTGCACATCAGATGATGCCTTGCGCGCTTCAAATCCTTTGCCCAATATACAGTTATTACTTCATGTACACATAATAATCAAACTGCATCAAGGATCTTCTATCTTTTTTTTTCCCTTTATCTAGGCTTCCAAAATTCCAATTTTCAAGAGAAAGCTACTTCTTTGCCAGGAAAAAAACAATCCACATGGGAGCCAAATCATGCACTTACCAAAGGAGACGATTCAATGCACTTTTTATAAACAAACAGATATGCTGACACATCTTATACCCTATCCAAGTCAATATGAAACCCCTTTCCAAAAGAAAACCTAATTAAAGTATCTTTTGACAATAAACTTGACCTCCTGAACCTAAACCTGACCCGATCAAGCCACATGATGAACAGTAGTATAAACAGAAAACAAGAGAAAAAAATGAAAGAAAAGGTTGGGGGAAAAGGGAAAAAGAGGCCACTGTAGCTTCTTTTCCTGGGAATCCAGGATCGGTCTTTGTCTTGTAAATCTCTTATATAAGGCCTTTTGTCAATTCGATGAAATAACGAAGTTGTATGGAAGAAAAAAACATTGATAAGAAGAAAGATCTAGTTTCAATCAAGTTGGAGCTAGAATGGCAAATATGCAAATAGTTGTAGCTGGCAAGAATGTGGAGCCACAGTATGTAGAGATGATGGTGCCTTTGTATTCTTACGGGTGTGAGAGGAAAGTGAAGAAGACTTTGTCCCATCTCAAAGGTAAATCGGATTACTTTCTTGATTAGTGCATATCCCTTAAGAAAATCGTTGTGCGACATATCCATGTGTTGTTGTCACTTGATTTCATAGTTTTCTCTACATTCTCTGCTTTCCTTTTCCAGGTCCAATAATTATTATAGTTTCAAATAAAAAAACTAAAATTATAATCTTAGATTTTGGCCCAAGCCCAAAATTCGAAATGGTATTCGTTGGACCCAAAATCCTGTCAATCAACCAACATTTTTATCATGTCTCCTGTTTGTCCATTGAATCCGAAACTAGAATAGAAATGTGAATAAAGAAACGCATTCCTCAAGCAAATTGTATGGGATAGTTCCATTAGAGGAAACCAGAATGAATTTTGTAATGATACATGGTTTTTCCAATTTAAATTATTAGACCCCCCCATCCCCCACCCTCTTTTGACTAGTGATCAAAGTTGTACTTTCAGGCTGTCTCACATACGCATCATCTACTAAATAAAAAAAGAAAGAAAGAATTTCTCTTTTTCTTTGGGTACAGAAGATTTTTCTAATTTCGTTTCTGAGCAGTTTTAACCTGTTATAATTGACTCAATAATTATTATCCCAAACTAAAATGTTGTTTTAGAAATAAAAACTTAGAAGGGTTGAAATTGAATCTTTTTTTTTTAATTAATACTAGTAATAGTTACTGTAACATAAGTGAGTTGGAAAATGTTAAGACAATGTAGAATAATATAGGGTGTTACTAATATCTTCTATATGTGAGTTAGGCATACCTATCAAGTAATAACTTTCGCAATTAATTAAATTAGAATGATACACCCACTATACGGGTAAAAAAGGAAAAGTGGTGGGTATTTTTTATTTTTTAAATGAATAAGTATATGTATCCATAATTTTATTTTTTTATAATAAAATTTATTGATTTTTTTTAATATATAAATGTCTCTAATTGAGTTGGTGCCATTTGATTTGTGACATCAAGTCAGTCAAAAGTTTTGATAATAGTATAAATTATATATATATATATATATATATATATAGGTCCTGCCCATGGGCCATAATTAAGGTGTCAGAGCAAAATATTGAAGCTCTTAATTTGTTGTGTTTATGGCAGGATTATACTCGGTAATTGTGGACTATAACCAACAAAAAGTAACAGTGTGGGGAATATGTAACAAATACAATGTGTTGTCAACCATGTGTTGTCAACCATGAGGAGCAAAAGAAAAGAAGCACGTTTTTGGAAAGCAGAAGACAACATTGGGATGGGAGATGATCAGGCACAATCACCTAAGGACTCTAAGCCTTCTTTAGCTCTAATGAAGGCTCGCTCTCTAAGTTGGAAGGCGTGGAAAAAGGTCTTCAACCGATCTCATTCTTGCTAAAAGATAAGCCATTAACTACAGGCAGTACCTCAAGGAAAAAGGACATGAATTATGGATGCATGCATGCCTTGGCGTTTTCTATAACAATTGGAAATGAGTGTAAATTTGATGCCATACGTTTTCTCCTCTCATTTGTAAATAAATTGTGGGTTCAAGATTGTCGACTCTTTCAATTTCTCACGGAAATTGCTTTCGCTTCATTAATTATGTCTTATTGTTAGGTATATGTTGAAATTGAACTTTGCCATCACCATGACCATTTTTCTTGAATATCGAATTCATAGTCGTGCGCGTGTTTTTTTCACAATTGGCCGTATTAGTTGACGGGCACAATCAATGGCGACAACAAAAAAAAAAAATCCATCTAATCAGAGGGTCAAAATTATCAATTTTTTTATGTTTGATTTGAATGCATGGTGAAGACTTCCTA